AGTCCTCTGACCTTTACACGTGTCATAGCCGCCATAGTCCCCACCCACCCAAATAGTAACCTTTTAAAGGGTAATCTGGGCATGATGACACGCCTTTAATCCCAGCACTTGGGAACAGAGGCAAGCAGCTCTCTCAAACTTGAGGTCAGCATGCTCTATATAGCAAGTTTCAGGCAAGCCTGGACTACACAGTGAGATCCCTCAAAAACAGGGAAAAAAAAAAAAAAAACAATCCAAATGTTCATTTTGTCCCACAAAGAATAGCAAACCCGGCTGATCTGTATTTCACCCTTGCTTTTTAACACTCAACCACCCCTGCCTCCTTCCCTGTCTATCTCCCACACATCACGCTGCTACCCACCTCTCCACGCCATCTAACCCTGACCTCGACTTTTAGCAGATGGCCTAGCTCTGCTTCCTGCTTTCCCATTTGCGTTTGTCTTTCCACCAGACTGCAGTTTGAGAACCTGGCTTTATCTATTGTGTGCCATTATTGTACAGGCACAGAAACCAAGCAAACTTGAGAGTAATCAAGAAACTTTTCAAGCATGAATGTATTCTTTGCTGTACTCTGAACTCTTATAAAGCAATTAAGGAATAAAGTTTATTTGCAGTATCATAGAAATATCCTAAACTGTTAGGTAAATTGCATCATCACATATATTTTATATAACACATATAAATAATAAAACCCTAAGGCTATCTCTGTCGTGTCTAAGTTTTTTTTTACATTTTTATTTTTAAATTTAAATTAGAAACAAGGTTGCTTCACATGTCAATCCCAGTTCCCTCTCCCTTTCCCTCCCCTCCTCCCACAGCCTCCCACCAACCCTCCCAATACCCCCTCTTTTCCCCAGGGAAGGTGAGGCCCTCCATGGGGGTATCCATAGTCTGTCATTTCATCCAAGGCAGGGCCTAGACCCTTCCCTAAGAGTCCAGGGTGAGAGTACATCTCTCATTGTTGGATGGGCACCCAAAGTCCATTTGTATGCCAGGGATAAATACTGATCTACTAAGTGTCTAAGTTTAAAAGTACTTTAGACTATGACTCTGATCTCTGGAAAATCTCTCTCTCTCTCTCTCTCTCTCTCTCTCTCTCTCTCTCTCTCTCTCTCTCTCTCTCTCTCTCTCTCTCTCTCTCTCTCTCTCTCTCACACACACACACACACACACACACACGCACGCACGCATGCATCTAACAAAGACAGGCAGTTAAGAGCATCACCAGCTGGGGAGTGCTCAGTGGTTAAGAGCACTTGTTCTCAAAGAGGACCTGATGGGTTTCCAGCACCTACATCTAGCAGCTCACAATTGCCTGTAACTCCAGTTCCAGGGGATCCTGGATTTTGGTAGCATGGGGCAGTGTACTCACACATACACATTCCCCCGCACAGATACACATGAATAAAAATAAAAGTAAAAATTCAAAAAGTATAGAGTACTGTTTTATGTATTTCCCCCATAAGATATACAAACAAGTTCCCTTTCATGTTCCAGAACACATACATTTAAACATTTATTATTTGACAAGTAATATTGTGGCATCTTAAAAATATTTTTATGAATAAACTTAAAGCCCAGATTTGAGTGAAATATTAGCTAACTTTCTATTGAAAAGCTCATTGCCATAAAATAAAATGTATTTTCTAAAACATGAACAATGAGAAAGGATTTCAGAGACAAGTGAGTAAGAAAAACTTTCAAATTAGACATCAATGTGAAGAAAGGTCAGATTCCCCTTCATTGATATGTTCACAAGAAAACAACATAAGAATCTAGCTAAGATCATTTAATCAGTTAGCCTCCTTTTGCTCCCAGTACAACCACTCAGCGTTTGGGAGGTTGAGGCTGGAAGGCCATGAGTTCCAGGCCTGTCTAGCTAACACAGTGAGACCCTTTCTAATTAATTAAATTCTGGGGGTAGGCTAACCCCCAAAGTTATTTTCATAGCATTCTCTGGTGTTCAACAACTATTAGTTTGGGAAAGTTTTTCATTATATTCTACCTATACAATCTGAGCAGTAAACGCTGGTTTGGCTTTTACTAAGAATAGGAGAAAACTGAGTTATTGCACAGAGACACACACATAAAAAATCATTATTGTAGCACAAGTTCTAATAGATCTTAGTAATAAAAACCCAGAGTAAGATATTGGGGTAAACACTGAAAGGTCAGAGAAGTAAAGGAGCCAGCACAAGAGAAACCTCTTACCTCTACCGAGTCCTCAGACCAAAGGGGCCATCCTGTCCTCACGAATCCTCAGACTGAATGTAGTGATCTTTTGTTTGTAATCTAATAATAAAGCTTGCCTCAAATCAGAGTGCAGAGCTAAACCACTAATTAGCCATAGAGGCAGTGGTGGCACACACCTTTAATAATCCCAGGAGACAGAGGCAGACAGATCTTTGTGAGTTCAAGGCCACCCTGGGCTACACAAGATTGAACCTGTTTAAAAGAGAGACAGAGGTCACACAAAGGTGATCCCAGCACTTGGGTTCACACGCCTTTAATCCCAGCACTAGGGAGGTGGAGACAGGAGTGATATGGCTGGGTGAAGAGATGAATATAAGGTAGGAGACAGGAGCTCACTACAGGCAGTCTGAGGACTTGTAGAGACAGGATACCCCATTTGGTCTGAGAATTTTGTAGAGGTGAGAACTGGTGGCTGCTCTGCTTTTCTTTTGGCTTTCATCCCCTAATATCTGATTCCCAGTTTTTATTATTAAGGCCTATTAGAATTCGTGCTACAAACCATCAAAAGTTATCTGGGGCTAAAGGCCTGGCTAACAATTAAGACCTTTTTTTTTTTCAATTAAGAACTCTTTATTGCTAGGCTGGAGGCCATAGCACTGGCCTGCCACCATAGGCATGGAGACTCTACCAATTCCACTTCTTAGTGTTCGAATGCCCCAACTTGAAGCTAAAGAAGCCACCTTGGGTGCACATGCCACTGGCCATGATGGCATATGCCCTGGTGGTGTCTCTATTGCATGTCACTAAAGGGATAATCTATGATCTTATTACTGAATCTCCAAGTGCTGGCTTAGTGTCTGATAAACATGGGCACCAGAGGCCACCAATTAAATAAGACAACATATTGTGAAAATATACAAGACAATACATTATGAAAAGACAAAGGTGGTTTAGGTTTCCTCATCCTGGACAGATCCAATGCACCAAATATCCAAAAACTTAATAGGTTTCTTCTCTTCGTTAGCTTTGTCTGTGTCCTATATACATTTCTTCATGGTTACCATATTCACGAGAATGAAACTGTCAGGTTACCTGGTGGGTGAGTGCTTTTAAGAAATCAGAGGATCCTGGATTCACTCCTATTAACGAAGTTTTAAAGACTGAGCCACTTCCTTATGCAGAAAAAGATGAACAGCAGAGTAAGAACAGCACCAAATAACAACTTAGCAGGCACATTAAAGCATAAACTGGAATCCCTTGGTATCAGAGTTCATTACCGCACTTGTCCTGATCATCTGTTCTGTACCAACTCTATCATAGCATCAACTACACTAAGTAGCATTTTCTTCCTAGTATTTTTCATTTCTTAAAGGAAATATACGCCACTTCTAAAACTATAATATTGAATAAAGTGATTGTTTTTTTACAACCCCCCTGTGATAGCTAATTTTGCTTGTCAGCATGATTACATGTAGAATCAACTAAAAACCAAGCTTCTGGGTATTTGTGTGAAGGATTTTTCTTGATTGGATCCTTTGAGGTCAGAAGACCCACCCTGAATCTGGGTCACACCTTCTGTTGGCAGTCCCCATAAAAGGACATGGAAGCTTTTGCTGCTTGGGCTCATTTTCTGGCAAGTTCATCCATCCTGCTGCTCAGACATTCCTTTGCTGGTATTAGAACCTGCTTCTGTGGATCTCAATATATACTGAAGACCAACTGAGAATACAACCCTTCTCGTCGGGAGACAGCCATTGTTGCCTTTGTCTCAGTTCTGCGCCTCTAGAGCAGTGGTTCTCAACCTGTGGGTCAAAGAGCCTGCCTTCAGGGGAGTCAAAGGCACTTTCCTAGGGGTGGCATATCAGATATCCTGCATATCAGATATTTACATTACGATTTATAACAGTAGCAAAATTACAGTTACAAAGTAGCTATGAAAAAATATTATGGTTGGGGGTCAGCACAACACAAGGAACTGTACCACTGCTCTAGCGAACCATGACTAACACAGCCCGAGCCATTTTTTGGACATGGTACTTCAGATTTTGAGAACTAACGTAAATTGAGAAGATCCCGAGGTCTGAGAAACTTGGACAGCTGGTCAGTTCCTCCAGCAGTGCTTTGCCTTTAAACAATGTGTGTGGTACTGTGTGCAGACACCTATGCAATGTGTGTGCCATTGCAGACTCATATGCAGGACTGCTTCCTGGACAATATGATGCATGAAAGGAACACAAGTAAAAGACCTTTATAATTGAAACTACAGAACTCTTACTGTTAATGTACAGAAGACCTGAATTCAGTTGCCAGCATGCACAATGACTCACAACTGCATGTTACTCCAGCTTGAGGGTGTCTCCACAGACACTTACACACATGTTCACATATGAACATACATATACATAAATTTTAGAAATCTTTTTTAAAGTTATCTGCGAGGCCAGGAAGACGGCTGGGCTACAGGTAAAAGTGCTTGTCATAAACCTTTGGCAACTAGGATTCAGGCTTGTTTTGGGTTTATAATCCCAGCTCTGGCACTTCTACAGTGAGATGGGAGGCAGAGACAGGAGAATTGGCTACAAATTCCAAAGATTGGTATGCATAGCACAGTAGTAGAAATAGTTACCTCTCTCAAAACAAGCTGAAGGGAGAGAAGTTATCCTCTGATCTACACATGTTCACACACACACACACACACACACACACACACACACACACACACACACACACGTTATCTGTAGTTATGGTTAGTAGAGATAGTGTACCTCACTACTTCTCGGATTATACAGAAAACCAACACACTTCAAAACAGTCAAGATGAATTTAATGCCAGCAATAAAACTACAGTTTAACATTCCACAATCATAATCTTCTAAACTAATACAGAACAAAGAGCTGAGGCATCATTACACTGATTGTAAGAGACAGTTTAATTTCTTTGACTCAGATTTCTTCCTCTTTAAGGAACTAGAGACTCATTCCATTAAAAACATAGTGACAGGGCTGAAGAGATGCTCAGTGGTTAAGAACACTGACTGCTCTTCCAGAGGACCTTCCAGTCCCAGAGGATCCAGCGCCCTATTCTGGACTCCTCAGGCAATGGATGCACATGGTGCACAGACATACATGCAGGCAAAACACCCATGCACGTATCATAAAAATAAAGGTTAAACATTTTTAAAAATACAACGACAGCACTTGTTTGGCTATTTTTGTTATTATCAAGACAATCATTGTATCTCTGCAATTTTCTGAAGTTTAAAGGGAAAATAAAATGTTAAAGTTTGCCATCATTTTTACAAATAATGAAGCATAAGTCGTCAGCTTTTATGCTTAAACTTCAAAGACAATTCTGGAATTTTTATGAAATACTTGTCTCAAAAAAACTTCAGAGGACATATTTTATTGTATGAATATCAAATGTTTTTATAATGATTTACTAAAACTTTATGTATTTTATAAAATAAATACTATCATAAAATATACTCCTAACTCCTAAGAGAGGTAATGAAAGGACTCAGGATTAAAATACACCCAGTAGAAAACTGATCCTTGTTTTTCTTATGAGTTCTTTTGGTAAGAAATGGCGTTTAGTGTGATGGACAAACTTGGTCTTTGTCAGGAGCCGTCCTCTGCTCTTCTGTTTCTGCCACAGCAGAGAGGAAGAGCTCTTTAAGAATATCCTTATCTAAATTCTTGCCTGAGAATAAAACAAGACAGGGATTACGAAAGGCTTGTTAAAACAACACTTGAATTTCCAGAGTGTTAAATGCATGGTGCTCTCTAGTGATCTACAAAATCAACAGTAACTGCATGACTCCTTCTACAACTCTCTAGTTAAACCTCAAATCCAAGTTAGTGCTTGAAGTAATCACTTTTCTAAGTCACCTGAACTTCTCTTTAAGTTCTAGAAATCTTATATTATCTGTGATTCAGACAAATACAGAGGCTTATGTAGCTAATACTGGTTAAATAACACACTATGTCTCCTAAAAACCTATTCTTGCATTTCCTTCAGAAATTTTCAGTTTATTTAGCTAATACTAGTGAACACATTATATCTCCTACAAACCTATTCTTGTTATTTTCCTTCAGAAATTTGTGTTACTTACCAATAAAGACCAGCTGACTTGATCTCTCAGCATCATCCTTCCAGCTTACTAGGCTCTCTTCCAGGTCATACAGCTCATGGATGCCTTGCAGAATCATTTGCTGTGGTTTGTCTTTTATGGACACTAGTCCCTGCTCAAAGAACAGTAACCATTCAGCTCCAGCTCAAGTTTGCAAGCACAAATAGTACATCAGATTTGAGAATGCTACTTTTCAAAAGACAAACTTATAACAAAGCTATGAAAGTCACCCATTTCAATTACAGCATATCTTAAGATTTTAAAACTTCTAATCATTTTGTATACACTGATCCCTGTCCCCTCCCCAAGACAGGGTTTCTTTGTGTAGCTATGGATGGCCTGCAACTCAGCACTTGGGAGATAAAGACCAAGCTGGCCTCAAACTCAAAAATCTGCTGGTCTTTATCTCCCAAGTGCTGAGATTAAAGGCATGCACCACTATGCCTAACTACTTCTTTAAAATAAAGAATTACTTTCTCTTTTCTGGTTTTTTGAGACAGAGTTTTACTATTAAGCCTGAGCCGGCTTGAAACTTGCTGTGCGGGCCAGACTGGCCTAGAACTTGCAGAAATCCACTTGTCTGACTGTGCATCACCACGAGTAGCAAAGGTTCCTTTTTCTAATGATAAAATTAATATATTAGGGTTTTTCAATGTTAGTTATAATAAAAAACTGAAAGTGATCAAGTCTGCTATCACACCATATCATACTAATTTCTCTGCCTTTAAGGGATTGGTACTTCTTTCACAAATTTAACATGAAAATTTAAGAAGTTAAGGTATTTTCTTGATGAATCTGTTTTAGAAATGTATTATAATAAATTTAGGCAATGATCAAATAGAAAGCTATTTTATTCTTCTGAATAAAAGTTCAATGTGGGAGTGGCAAGGTGTCTGGCTCAGAGGGTAAAGGCACTTACCTCTCAAATTTGACCAACTGAGTTCGAATCCCAGAACCCACAGTAGAAGAGAACTGACTCCCACAAAGTTGTCCTCTGACCTACACCTGCACATTGTGTTATGTGTTCACCCACATTCAGACAAACAAAAATACACACAGACAACTAAATGTCAAGTAATATGCATAGCTTTCCAAAAACTGAACAAGAATTCCAGTGTTTTGTACCTTTGTAATTACAAATGTTTATCGTGTCTGCTAAATTCATCAAGTAACATAAGATTCAGCAGTGGAAGAATTTTCAATATTATTTCTCTATTAAATGAAGCTCTCTTGGAAAAATAACCCATTTCTCTAAGTGACCAATCTGTGCAGAGAAGAACTGTTTGACAGTGTCAAGCTTATGAGCCAGACAACTGCTGGGAACACCTGGCAGAGGAAATCTGGACTAACATCCCAGGCACACAGGTTTTAGCAGCAGCACTAAATGAAACTGTGCAAATAAACCATTTGTTGTTGTTATTGTTGCTGTTGTTGTTTTTACAGTGATTTCTAAAGCTCTTTTCAGCAATGGAAATGAGGACAAATGTTATTTGTACTAAAGCTATTGTTTCTGTTTAAAATCAGATATGGTTTTTACATAACAGTCAAGAAAAGGATACTGTCTCCAAAGTCTGGGAGAGCAAATTGCATACTACACCTTCAGCCGAATGACCTCCATGCAGTGGCCGTCCTTGTTTTGTATGTTCTTTTCCCACAGGAGATTCTGTACCAGGCAACACAATTTCATAAGACCAACCACTGCAAATGCAACAACTATGCAACAAACAGCTGATGAATCATTAATCAGGTAAAATTGCATTCACCTGGATAAATACATTGAGACTCTCTTCCTTCGCACTTCCTGGTACTTCAAATGTGACTGTAACAATACTCTGTAAATCAAGAGAATAATCCATAATTTTTATAGAATCATCCTTCTGTTTTAAAAACTATAACCAGTTTTAAGATGAGAAAAGAAAAGAGCCATATTTATGAAATTTTAACTGATTAATGATATTATTAATCATTATTTCCCTCTTTGTTTGGGAATTACCAACTCTATAAAGTAGATCAATAGTATTTAAAAGCAAACCCCAAAGCCCCCTCATGTAAGGGTCCTGGAGTGTATGTAGCACACATTGTGTGCCTTCTGCGTGTGTCATCACACCTTCCCTTTGCTCTTCACGACAACCTGGGAGCAGGGAATATTTCACTTTAGAAGTCAGGCAAATGAAGCTCAGAAAAATAAAGTACATGATGCAGAAGCACTGCTCAAAACAGCGTAGTTCTGCCTCTCAGAAAGAAAAAGCACTGTGCTGAGTGAAAGGAGTTCTCAGCGATGCTGGCCGCAGTGGTGCTTCTGACTCAGGTTGTTGGAGCATCACGTACAGAATTCAGATTTATTTTTCCTCCTGATCTCAAAGATCTGTTTTCTCTAAAGAAGCTTAAAGTCTCCTCTAACAGGTTAATAATTAAAATTCAGACCTCCCTTCAACAATATAACCCCAAACCTCAAACTTAGCAACGAAAACACACAAAGGCTTAGCATGTCATTAAAAGCACTACTCCCATCCTGGACAGTAAGTAAGATGCTCGAGCAAAGCTCAAAATGTTTAAAACAAGAAGAAAGAGGGTAAAACTCAGTGTAATGTCTTGGAAATACTCATCTCCCATGCACTTTAGAAGACCGTGTAAGACTGAAGAAGAAAACATAAAAATGCCTCTGTTGTTTTATTTATTTAATTTTTGCTTCATTAGCTTTGAAACAAGGTCTTACTGTGTATTCCACGCTGGCTTTGAACTCACAATCCCCATTTTAGCTTAGCATGCTGGGGCTTCAGGTGTACATCAGCAAGCCCAGCTCCAGAATTGTTTTTATACAAATTTAGAGACTAGCTAAAAGTATTAAAGATCAATGTAGAGAAATCAATATGCTGACACTTAATCCTCTGATGCCGTCAATATACACAGTGTTTTCTTACTTAAAAAAAGCATGCTGGACTTTAAAAATGTAAGGCATATGAAAGTACTTCCCCTTATCTGTGGGACATACAGTAAAATAACTCTGGTATATGTATGAAACTACAGATAATACTGAGCCACAAGGTAAGGCCTTTAGAGTTTTAACTAAGCACTTACATGCTATGGTTACAGCTTCCATGTTTAAATCCAACTACAAAATTATCACAAGTTTCTTTTACTTCCTTCACAATATCACAGACAGTAAGTTTATTCTGACCAGAGATCTTATCAAATCACCTTTTCACATAAAGGAAGCACTCTAAGCTTCTCTTGGACACATTATATTGTCAGCATTATTAGTCTTATGCTTGGGAGGTGATTCAGTAACAGGGTCACATGAACATAAGCACTGTGATACTGTGACAGTAGATCTGGCAACAGAGATGCCAACTCAGTGAATGATGGGCAGGTACTGTAATTCAGCATGCATTCAGCAGACAATAGGATGACTCACACAATACTCAGGACACAGCAGAATGCTAAGAGGATTCATAATGGTACTCAAAACACCATCAGTTTTATACTGGTGAATTATTTATTTCTGGAATTTTTACACTTAATATTTTGGACTGCAGTTGGCTGCACAGAATGGAAACCATAGATTGTAAGGGCTCTGCCTGTATTTTGTTACAATAATTAAACCAAAAGCTTGAAATTATTTCAACAAATGAGTGGTTTTTTTTGTAAAGCAATGTGTACATACAATGGATTATTATTTAGTCTCAGGAAGGAAAGAAGGAAATTCTGCTATATAGTAAAATGCGAATAAACCTTAAGGATGTTATCCTAGATGAAATGAGCCAGGAATAGAACAAATATTGTATGGTTCCACTTGTAGTAAGTACTTAAAATGGCAGCTACTTGGTGGTAGGAGGGCAGCACTGAGGAGCTGCTGTTCAGTACGTTCCATTTGAGTCCCACAGGACACAAAGTTCTGTTGTACAACACACACACAACAATGCACACTTAGAATTTCTTTAAAGGACAGAGATCAACTTAAGCAGTTTTTGTTGTTGTTTTTCCCACAACAATATAGAGTACTTATTTTAAGATCTTAGTAAACATATTCTGTTTTTGGTAGTTCAAAGTAATATGCATTTAAATAAAATGGTGATTTTTTTCACATTAAAGAGATCACTGTAAGTGTCTAAAATCCTATGTCTAGCTGTATTGTAAAAGGCTACCAAATAAAACAGAATGTGTCAGTTTCAACAGAAAGTAATTTTGTCTTTAAAAATGCATTTCATTCAAGTTGAATGACTTAGCTTTTACTACTGAGAATGTTTCAACACACCCCCCCAGTACACTCACTACTTTACTGTTAGCTTAAAGACTTTTCTGAGAAGTTTTTTTTTTTCCATTTGTAGTTAAGGACATGACTTTGTTCAGTTAGTTTTGGTTTTCTGAGACAGTCTCAAGTAACCTAGGCTGGCTTTGAACTGTTGATCCTCCTGCATCTACCTCAGAACTGGGAATACCGCTATTAGAGACAGGGATCACAACACCTTGCTATCACTTATTTTAAAAGGGTATAGTTCCTCCAGCAATAGGCACAAATGATTCTTGAAACTAGCACAATACATAACAGGGTTCAAGGTGGGTGGATGCCCCTACTTTGGAACTGTGGCTTTCATACCCAGTCTTTTCATATGAGGAAAACTCAAATACAACGAAACCTATATATTGTGGTAGAAACTCAAGAATTCAAAATTGCCCCTACAAACAAAAATAACCATAGACTGCCACGTGGACTTTCTCGTCTATATTCCCATACCAGCTCATCTTTATTAGGATTAAGCAAGAAATAATGCAAAATAAAAAAAGGTGAATTACAGTAAGTATTTCTCAGGAATAAAACTTTAGTAACTCATATATAGCATATTCTAGATATTACCACCTTCAGATTAGATTTTGAAATTTATTTCTGATTTGAATATAAAACTAAGTCTCTTCCCATGGCTAGTAACACAAAAGCAGAAAAAGGAGGCAATAATTTACAAAATCGAAAGCCTGTTAAAGAAATTCCCCTAAAATAAAATTAATAGTAAGTCTGGTTTGTTGATTTGGCTTATTTTCCCAGTAAACTCATGAGAGTCTCAGTTTTATGCCCTATGTAAAGAAGACCTACTATGCAGTAACTTCTACGTGGTTTCTTTATCTGGAAAACCAAGCTCAGCAATGCAGTCAAACTCAATACCTCTTGTCTCCATGCTCCAGCCCTTTATTGCTCTTTGCCTCTGTGGTATTTTCTGCCTACAAATGACAAGCTAAGCATGGGGCATTCTCATTCAAATCTTTGTCCGCCAGATGTTTCTAGAGTTTTCTAGGTTCCGCTAGTTTGTCCACATTTCCCACCATTCCTCCCTCTTCTTACTAATCCATAGGCAGATAGCTCATGGTTTACCATTTCTACTGCAGGTATTCACTCCATGGTATACAGTCTTTATGCTTGGCCTCTCGAACCCAAAGACAAGTCCTGCTCCTCTAACACTGACACACATGAGCCTTCTTTGCTTTACACCTTATACCTCAACACCTTAGAACAAACTTCCAGTCCCAGTCATCTAAAAAGGCTTCTGTACTAAAAAGCTGCTTCTCTGGGATATATGTTCTCACTTTTCAATGTCTGGATTGCCTCTCCCTTTCCCTGTATCTATTTAAAATAAACAAGCCAGCCAACCAGCCAACAAAACCCTACTGATTCAAAATTTCTTTAGTACTCAAGTCAGAATGTCAACTATCTTTCTTTGGCCAGACGGTGCATAAGGGACTTCTCTACATTTATTATATTGATCTGAGCAGGAAATATAAAGGCAGGTGTTTGTACACATGGACGTACGTGTGTTTGTGTGTGTGTGTTGTGTGTGTGTGTGTACAGATAACACTGAATAACACACTAAAACCTGGATGATTTACTTTATATATAAAATACCTTTCATAAAGCTTTTGATGAGGTTAAGGATAAACGTAATGAAGGTTAACTTTCATTGTCATTTGACGAGATTTAGAAACAGTATGGAGGGACTAGAGAGATGGCTCTGTGGTTAAGAGCACTGACTGCTGTTCCAAAGGACATGGGTTCAATGCCCAGCACTGACATGGCAGTTTAAAACTTCTTGTGGCTCCAGTTCCAGGGGATCCAACACCCTCACAAAAACAGGTAGACAAAAGTAAATAAAAAAGACCACTATGGAAACAATTAAGCATGTTTCCAGAAAGGGTAAAGTGGTAGTAGAAGACATACCCTGAATGTGCCAGTACCACAGGCTTAGCTGGAACAAAAGGACAGGACAAAAAGCACCGGCACTCATCTCGCTGCTTCCTGGCTGCAGACGCAATGTGACAGCTGCCTCATGCTCCTGCTGCCATGACTTTCACACCTCAAACTGTGAGCCAAAATCAATCCTTCTTTCCTTACGTTGTTCTTGTCAGGTGCTTTGTTAAGGCAATGAGAAAAGTAACCAGTACAACATCCAAGCCCCAAATATAGCACTTTGGCATTTGAGAAACAAAAGCAAGAAAACCACTCTCACCTATCCTACCCACACATCCTTTTCCCTGAAGCAGGCCATAAACATAGGACTGCTTTTCTGAGCTTTCCCTCTAACAGATCTTAAGATTCTCATGTGAGAAGTGCCAAGAAGAAAAGAGCATCTTTATCTTTAGGGAGGGAAGGAAGCCCTGAGTGAGTGAAGTCCTGAGTGGATATGGGTTGTTGACATAGGCACAGCCATGTCAAGGCATAGCCTCAGGTTCAGAGGAATGGCAAAGCCTTCTTTGGGGGACCAAGTGTAAGTGTTGACAGACTGTGCAGAGAATATCTACCACTAACCAGATATTTATGGCCTAAAATGTACTCCCTCACAGAAACTGCTCCTACCAAGATTAGCTAAATGTGTCTCCTTGGTCATGCTATATTCCATATATTCCATTCAAATTCACAAAATAAACCCTGAGCTTCTGGTACCCTGAAGGGTTTTTTTTTTTTTTCAGTCAAAAGCCCAGACTACCGAATCCCAGCTTTTCTGTGTTTCTGTCTCTGTCTTTTCTTCATTCCCTACCGCCCTAGTCAAGTCCAAGTGCCTGGAACAATGAACGGACACAACACTATGTCTGAAGATAAACATCACAAAGAAGACTCTAAACAAATAAGCTTTTGCTAAATCTTTCAATTTAGTATTGTTAGGCCACATTCTTTCCCCTATTTTATCTCTCCACAACTCTCTATTATTAATTAAACCTACACAGAAACATTCAGGTTTAACTAATTCTTAAGGATTTCATTATGAAGGATTCCATATTACATACACTAGGTAAAAGTGTACGCTTTCTTCTTGCTAATCTGTCTTGTGATGGGGACTTCAGCCCTGAACTTGCCAATGAATGAAGAAGACATGCAGTTCCTCCTCTTTAAGTCTGATCCACTAAACCAATGAAAAGGTTCATGCTTGAATCATAGATCCCTGGAGCGTTCCTTTGCCCTATGTTTACACATTTAAAGTAGGGTAGTGTATCAGAAACTCACGTTGAGTTTTAACAAAAACAGACATGCCCTATTTACTGGAGAATGATGTAACGTCTGGGAATTGCTTCAACACACTGTAGCAGGAGTCATGAGTATATACATGTTCTTCATGTATATATTTTTTTAGTCTTTTATTATGACTGAAATTTACTATCTAAAAAATATATTTTAAACTCCAGCAAAGGAATGTTGGGAAGATAAATGAAATAAAATTGACAAAATGTTGATACCATTTAAACTAAGAGATGTATATAGGAGATCTTTTTACTTTTGCACAGTACTAAAGTATTCATAATAAAATGTTAAACTATGATTAACAAACATGTATTTAAGTGTCATTTCTGGAGATTTGAGGGGAAGGAACTATGGAATATCTGATTTTTGACAGCAAGAAAAGCAGAAAGGTAGGAAGGAAGGCAAGCAGGACACTCCAAAAGTGATTCTGAATTATACCACTGCTTGAGAATGTCAGCTCTTTGTTTCTTTGACAAATATCCACTGAGATGCTATTCTTATCAAATTCTATGCTATGCAATGAACAATTATTTTTAAAGAACCTGCACTAATGCAAGAGTAATGCAAGGGGGAAGCATTTCAGGCCACACTGCATGATGGGCTGCATTCAGGACATCATGAATGTACATACTGGCCATCATAAGGTTCTTGTGAGGACTCTTATTTTCTTCATCTTTTAATCCCAGATTCCTAATGTGATATCTTGAACCCAGTTCATCCTAGTACAGCTACTAAATGCCATATACACTTAATTTCCCTTAAAATTCCACTGCCAAGGACTTACTGTTTCTCTCACTGTAGAGGTAATGAATGTTATATTCTCTGAGAAATACGCCATGCCCATGGTGGTACAGCCCCCTTTGAACATGAGCCAAAATGAAGAAAATGTCAAGTGACTGTTGTTACCTTGCCCCATTACAGGTGGTAGACATGGAAACTCAGTTACAGCTTCTAGACAGAAGGGCCAGGCACACAGTTCACTCACAACTCCTCTTACTGCTTTGAATGAAATCAAAGAGTTCATTAAAGTTCTACCCTCTAGAACTTGTTTGGAGAAACATGGTTTTGAGACAACATATTTACTTTGTTCCCAGCATCTAAAATATCATCTTGGACAACCACAAAAAAACTTGAGTTCAAATTTATAGTGCTACTGAAGGTAAAACTCAAGGTCAGGTTTTATTTAAATAAGCCATCTTTTATTTCTCCCTAATCAATTAGTTAAATTCAGCTTAAGCAGAAAGCAGATTGAACCTCTGGGTCTCATTTAGGTAGAATTTCTCATCAAAATAAGCTTGAATCCAGGATTTTCTAAAATATCAGGAAACATGAAGGGTTAGAATACTTCTTAACACAGAAAATTTCATGCTAAACTAGACATAAAACTTCTAAAACTGCAAACCTAATCCATAAATAATGTTAGAAAGAGATCTAATGAAAAGTACTCTAAGTAGAACCAACTTAGTTGAAAGAGATACTTGAAAATTTTACAAAATTTTATTTTTACCTGATCAAGATGGGGTGCTGTTGGTACATGCTGAAGTTTTTTCTGTAAACTAAGAACAACCAATCACATATTTAAAGATCAGTATACTTCTGATTTAATGTTATCCATTATCCAGAGACACGGGCCAATTAAGAAACAAACATTTCATAACTGAATTTATCACAAAGTTTCAATTTGCCCACTCTTCACATGTTCTAAATTTATACATATATGCAACATCTGCATAGAACAGTTGAGAGATCTAAGATATATGTAGAGAAAAGCTGACAGATCTAAGAAATAAAAAATGTTTTTGGATGCACACACATAAGCATCATACAATGAAGAAAAACTAATATTTTAGCAACATTCTATTGTTAAATGTCAGTAGATTTTTTTATAATTCAGTAGTTTAATACAATAATTTCAACAGGCTTAGAAACATATACATGGCCATTCTGTAGTGCTCCATGTTTCTTACTTCTCCATGTTTCCTGATATGAAAGCATGCTGGTATCTTTAAAGAGTTAGAAATGTAAATTTTCCTATGTTAAGGGTTTCCATTGGATGTAATACCTATTATTAAAGGACAAACAGAATCCAAGTACAAATTTTCTATATAGTCAGTCACCAGTTAAGAAAACAAAAATGAAATCAGGCATAGTGATGCACACCTTTAAATCCCAGCATTCAGGAGGCAGAGGCAGGAGGATCTCTTTGAGTTTGAAGCCAGCCTGGTCTACATAGGGAGTTCCAGGACAGCCAGAGCTATATAGTGAAACCCTGCCACAAAAAAACTTAGAATCTTAAGAATGCATTGAGAAGAGGCAGCAACCAATATGCGTTGAGAAGAGCCAGAAGACCAATAAGCAGAAGAAATTATTACCATAACAACTGGAGCACACATTTAGACAGTGATGGTGACAGGGCAGAGGGAGGGGAGGGACTTAAAGCCTTGCAGAAGTTCTGTCTTGAAGCACAGTGAGGGGTAAATTAGTAACAGCACGTTTATGCTGTAGGAACTATTGTGGAAGGAATGATTCACACTGGGGGGTCTTAGAGGGAAAGTGTCAAATTAAATCCTTCCCAGCTGGTTGCTAACAGCTAAACAAAAAGAAAGTCAGGCAAAGGCCTACTGAGGGACAACATTACACACATACTCCTTTAAGTACTGCTAAAACATTATAACTGCTCTTAATCAAAAGTACAATGAGATTAGAAAATTGTTGGAAAATTATGTTTCCATGTTGCCAGACAGTGAGTACATACAACATCACATTCAAGAAAAAAGTCCAAGCAATTAACAAGGAAACTTTATGATTAATTCCTAGTAAGTCTCAAAATTTTATGCCCTTAATTTAGTTCTATCTTAACAAGAAAAGAAACTGTACTCTAGTTTACTGGACAAGCATATAGTAATAAAACCTGAAATTTTTAAATCAGAATCTTTTGTTTGAAAAATAACCAGTGAAATGCCTAATGCAAATTCCATATGCAACTATCATTAAGTATAAAACTCTTGAGTACTCAAAAATGTACAGCAGGAAAACTTCACACTGTGGAAAGAAACAATCAGGTGCTCTGACCATACCATATACACAGGAATGTATTTAAATGAGTACATACTCATAGTGATTCACAGATACCATCACTCCTATCTATCTTCATACTGCCCAGACCAAGAAAAGCGAATGTAGATCTTATCCAGGTGCTCCAGCAATGGTCATTTTAATTTGTTACTGGGTTATGCTAAAACTCCAACTCCAGAAGCAATGAGTAAAAGTAGCTCTCTACTGAAGACTTAAGTTCTAAAATGGCTAGTTCTAACCCTTGGCTGTAGGGTAATAAATCTACTCCTCTGGTTTTTAATTTAAAACATGAGGAAATAGCTGCCTTGAATATTCCATACTTCTAGGCACTAAAGTAGTCCCATTTAAAAGAAAATCACAGTAAATGGGAATTAAAATTCTCTGTAAGATAAAGAGGTTCAATAAAACACCATGTCATATCCCCAGGAATTATTTTAGCTGTTTTAAAGGGTGAGCTACACTAATGAAATGGGGGACTGGGTGACTACTTGTAGCTCACAAGTATAGAAGCCCTCACTATGACTACTCATAAAAATAACAGTCTTACTAATTAAAAATACTCAGAAGCATACATCTTTGTGCTATTAAGTAGACACATACGAAACTTAAAAGATATTTTATAAGCATTATTTACAATAGCTAAGATGTGGAAACAACCTAAATGTTTATTTTTGGAAAAAGAGATAAAATAAGTGGGCTTTAAAAAGGACGTCCTGCCCTCTAGGTCACTGAGGGACACAATACCTCAGCCCATAGAAGCAGGCACTTGAATATATTGGTTTCCAGGAGAGAAAGATAAGGATCTGTCATAGAGTGAATATTACAAGTCTGTGTTATATATCATTATCATCATGCCTAAAGTTAACTATCCTACATTGTAACTAAAAAATGTGTTATGAAAGACCTTATGTTACATATTCTTACTACAATTAGAGAAGTAAATAACTAAGTCAGACGTATCAGCACATGCCTTTAATTCTAGTACTCCAGAGGCAGAGGCAGGCAGGTCTATGTGAGTTCAGGTCAGCTGGTCGACTTAGCAAGTTCCAGGCTAGCCAAAGCTACATAGCAAGACCCTGTCTCAAAACAAAACAACAACAAAACACTAATGTTCAAGAATAAATTTTTTCAAAAAAAAAAAGAAGAAAAATTTTCATCTATCATAAAGATCCTTTCAAAAAGAGACAGAAAATTGATCTATTATCTAAGGGGAAGGGAGTAGTCTGTGACTCATTTAGATTTTCTATGTATTTCATGCGTATTTGGGGTTTTTTTTTTTTGAGTGCTATAATGATTAGCACATAAATATTGGTGAGTTTCCAGGCTTAATTATCATTTACATTGTAAGTTCTATAGACACAGCTTTCATGATCATAATTAAAATGATCTTGCCAGGCAAGTGTGGTAGTACATACTTTAATCTCAGTAGTTGAAAGGCTGAGGCAGAGGATCACAAGTTTAAAGGCCAGGCTGGGCTACAAAATAAAAGAAAAGAAAAAACAGCCGGGCGGTGGTGGCGCACGCCTGTAATCCCAGCACTCGGGAGGCAGAGGCAGGCGGATCTCTGTGAGTTCGAGGCCAGGCTGGACCGACAGCCTCCAAAACAATACAGAGAAACCCTGTCTCGAAAAAAAAAGAACAAAGAAAAAGAAAACAAAAAACAAACTTGTATGTCAAAGAAATGGCATCTTAAATAATAGGAAACAGGAATAAAACACACTACATAAAAAAATGACCAAAATTTTGAAAACATACCTTATTCCAGAGAGAATATCATAAGCATGAAGATCTAATATATTTGAGAGATGAACTCTGAAAGGAAGGAAATACATTTAAACTGTTGAAATTTCTGTAAAATTTCAAATTGGACACAGTGGCACAGGTCTAAAATCTCAGCATTTAGGACAAGAACAACTTTCAGCATTTAGCTCAAGGACATCCTTGGCTACATAGTGAGTTCAAGGCCAGCCTGGGCTATATGAGACCCTGTCTCAAAAAGGAAAATTTCTAAATATCTTTTATCAAGATATGTAAACATAGAGATTAATCAGTCTTGGGGCTGGAGAGAGAGAACCTGGGTTTGGTTCACAGCACCTTCTTGGTGGCTCACAACTGCCTGGAACCCCAGTTTCAGTCGATCTGATGCTCATTTCTGATGGTATTAGGCACATACATTACACATACATACATGCAGGCAAAATAATCACACACAAAATAAAAATAAATCTTTTTTAAACTAGCATATTACATTTAGGGAGATACATTAAATGACAGGCAAGAAAAAAAGAAATACTGTGAGATAATTCTACCTAAAATTCCTAATAGCTAAATGGTAAATATCAAACACACACACACACACAAATCACTTGCTACTGCTTCAAAAAAAGTTTCTTTTCCACTTCTGATTGTCCTTCAATTATAATTCTATATGCTTTAAACATTTTCAGAGTAAAAAATTATCTAAATAGCCGGGCGTTGGTGGCACACGCCTTTAATCCCAGTACTTGGGAGTCGGAGACAGGCGGATCACTGTGAGTTCGAGGCCAGCCTGGTCTACAGAGTAAGTTCCAGGACAGTCTCTAAAACAATACAGAGACACTGTGTCTCGAAAAAAAAAAAAAAAAAAGTTAGTTCCAGGACAGGCTCCAAAGCTACACAGGAAAACCCTGTGTTGAAAAAACAAAACAAAACAACAACAACAACAAAGTAAAAGAAAAAGAATTGACCTCAACCAACACTTGGCTTGGTTTAAATACAAAAAAGTAAAAATTTACAAAAATGGATGACTAATTTTCAATTTTAACATAAGTCCACAAAAGAGCAGAGAACAATCAATGCCTTCACAATTAAACTAAAATAAAGGGAATATTTAAAAGAAAGCAAAACTACAATCAAAAGTGCAATTACAATTCAACAACACTAGACCCGAGCAGCTTGTCAAACATTTTTTAACAAGGAAAACAAAGTTCATTTGTCACATTCAAAATGTCTGATTAAGCACACAAATGTAAGATAAAGTATCTCCTTTCGTTCAGGACTGGCCAGCTGTGCCTGCCTTGTTCACTTGCAGCAAGCAGCCACACACTTGGGACAGCATTCTACGAGATTATGAATGCTTTATCTTGGCACAGACAGACACATTCCCATCTTATTAAACAACAAATATCACAATTCTATGTTAATATACTGTATCAATGCTTCAAATATCGGACAGGCTGAGAAAGAAAAAACTTATGAATATCAATTTACACTAAGAGATCAAAATCTAGCATTTAGCATACTTCCTTTTCCATCTTAACAGTTAAACACGTACTTGTAAAGAGGTTGAAACCACATAAGTTTGCCATCTTCACTTCAGCAGTTTAAAGAAAAGTCTATGTTACCAATTCTGTGAATATCCAGTTCTGTGTTAAAAAAAAAAAAACCTTCTAAACACGCCACTGCCCCACTGTGACCGTGTCCTTGAGAACACTATCATCTAGAGACAACTCTGCTTCATTCATAGCACATCCTTTAGGCACCTCTAAGAATGAAAAGACCAACAACAGAATAACCACAAAGAATCGGAGTCTCTTGCCAAATTCTCAGTGGTCAGTATAAGAAGATAAGGTATAAGCTCACACGTGGAAGTTTTTATGAGCTTTTCCCCAAACCAGCACTGCTTTGGAGAAGAAAGTCGGTACTCATTTTAAAACATGTCTAGAAAAATTTTCCGTGGCATTGAATGTGTTCATTTAATTTCTCCCTTTAGAAATAAAATATCAGATATTTTCCAAGACATTCAAACAATAAGATCAAAAGACCATTATCATTTTAAATTAAATAGGAAAATAAATCAAAGGAAAAAATTCTTCAAAAGTTCATTCTTCTACTGTCTTATACAGCCTTCAGCTGCAACTTTAGGGAGACTGCCTAATAACCATCTTTTCAAATTCAACAAGTCCCTTCACGGGGTCACAAGGTCTACAGTTACTGTTATTTCCAAAAGCTTGGTGCTAAACTCTAGCACTAAATTTCCAATGTTCTCATTACCCTTTGCTATGTATAATAGTATTCTTGGTTCTTTGTGAAAGACTCATATATCCTCCTCTCAGCTACATGCAGCCAGGTGTCCTCATTAGTCATTCTAAAATACTAACCCTGAAATAGTAAGGCTTCTGTACACCTAGAAAGTCACCTGTACTCCAGGTGATCTGGAAAAACATCCATTCACTGTTTAAGACTCTAATCAAACTATTTTGCTAGTTAAGTTTTCCTGACTCTTCATCAAGAAAAATTGAATGGTCATTTCTCTGCCTTTTTATTCTTACAGAATGTTGTGCAGTCAATATTTCAATTGTGATATATTAAGAATATTCAAGGTGTTGCTTTTTGCTTGTTTACTTCTCAGTTTTTCCCAAATGACTGACCAACCCAGTGTCTTAAAAATACTTTTGTCTTATCTGTTACTTAACTCCTGAACCCACTCTGCAATGCCTAGAACCAGTGGAAAATTGAAATGGTTAACTTACGGACCAGCTGTATTTTTATTTTCTTCTATTCCATTCACCTGGACCTCTAAAATTGTAAAAGTCCAGAAAAGAATGCATGCCTTCTAACATTCCCTCCTACTTCAGAAATCTATGCAGTTCCTTAGAACTCATATTTGCCTGCCATTTCGCTTAAACCTTGCCAGTAAGACACCACCACACATAATTCTTACTCCCATTTTACAAAGTCAAGGTGAGCCTTTTCTAATGCTTGCTTCTAGTACTTTCACTTTTGCCAGCTTTAGTCAACCTCAAAATACTAATGGGATTAAAATGTTAAAAATAATGACTAATTATTTTGCTCTTAGCTAAATCTCTAGTCTAAACTGGGATCCCAAATTGCCCTATGTCTAAAGGAATTTGGGGAAATAATATAAGATTCATGACCCAATAGTAAGACTCCTACTTATAGCTGATCTTTATGAAAAAGTCTCTAAAGTCCAGTGTTCCCAGCAAGGACATGTTATTTCTGAGTCGCAGATACACTGTCAACAGCAGGTAATGAAGAATGAGAAGATAACGATTTTCTTCACTTACACCCTCATCATTAAGTAACAAACACTGCATAATTAATAAGCTTGTAAGAAGGCAGATGTTAAAAAGCATAATAAGCTAATCAAGAGGGAACTTTAGAACATGGACAATTTCAAAGTAGAAATAAAAAAAACATATGAACTGAATACAGGTTGTCACTACAGAAACACAGCTACTGATAGGTATGGATTCTTAAAAGCTAATTTAAGTGTTATGGAGATGCCTGTCATTTATAAAAGAAAGAAAATCAAGGAGAAAACAAATATAGACTGTGATAGGAAGAAGACATACTGAGGACTGGCTCAGAGTACATGTTAGATTATCTTGTTTCTACAGCAGAGGTGAAAAATCTGGGGGCACATTTGCTTGCACAGCGCCTGTAGCAGGAACACAGCAGAGGCATTTGTGGCTCCTGAAAATGCATACCAAATTCATTCTCCAGCTGTACACATGCTCAGAGCAGCTGCTGCTGTTACTGCCTCACACTTCTGTCAGTCTGTCAGCACCTCTAATCTTTGCTATTGCAGCAAGCCACTCAGCTAAGGCTTCTGCATTTGACAATGGAAAACTCAGAGGCTGGGTGGCACTAGGCTGCCAGCTGTGAGTCTCAGAGGGGTCTACTAAGCCATTCTTGTCCCCAACATGAACTTAACAAAATACCCTTTCACTGAAGTTTTCCAAAATCATGACAGCATTCAATGGAAAACAGTTACATCTATAAAAGTACAGTTCACAAAAGTTTTTTTTTAAAGGAGTACAACTATTTCAGAAGATTATATACATCTTTATAAACAGAACTACAAGAAGCTACAGAAGATGTAAATAAAGGGATACAGTAAGAACTTAAACATAAAAAACTATGTATTCTTACTGCAGGCTTTTTTTTTTGTAACACTAAGGCTTTAAAATTAAAAACTTATTTAAAGGTCTTAAATTAAGATTCCTGAATAGCTTTTTCAGATTTATATGTCATAGCTTTGTAGTTCTTAGCAAAGGTACTAACTAAATATGGCAAACAAATTTGTATAGAGCATTAAGACAATATTTAGGTGTTACTTTAATGCACTTATATCCTTATTATATCATAATTAAGTTACTTACCAATTTTTAATAATTAAAGGCTAAGTTATTTGTTGTTGGTATTAGTAATAAGTTTTTTTTTCCCTGTTCTTCCTCCCTCCTCCCACCTCATGTAGCCCAGCCTATCCTTGCCTTCCTCCATAGTTCAAGGATGACCTTGAACTACTAATTTCTTGTCTATACAATCAAAGTGCTAAGATTATAGGCACATGCTATGCACAGTTTATGCAGTGCTGCAGTCAACTCCAGGGCCTTACACATGTTAGGCAACAACCCAACTGACATACACCTCCGGTCCCAGTAATAACTTTAAAAAGTACCTTGATCTTTGAGTTTCTAAAATTTTTCCCAGTCCATTTATTGATCTGAAATAAAAAACAAAAGGAAAGGATTAAAAAGTGAATGGTAACTTTTTCAAAAAGCACATACAAAATCAATTACTCCTAAAACAAAGTAAATAGACACAAGTGTAACCAGACCTAGTAACAATTGAAAATGGAAAACAAACTTGCATTGTTTTAATGGCTTAGAATTCTTTCCCTTCAAACCACAAATCTGACACAATCTAGTTGTATATTTAAGAAAATGTGTTGCTCAAAACCTACCATACAGCTGGAAGGCTAGGTATGATTGTGAGTTATAAAAGGTCCTTCACTTAAGAAAATGGGTAAGGATGTGGCTCAGTGGTACAGTTCTTGCCAAAAAGAAAAGGAAGGAAAAAGGTGATTCCTAATGTTCTTGAATACTCAAAACTTTTGCATGACAGCCAGTTTTAACACATTGTATAAATGGTGAATGCAAACACCAAAATAAAGAAAAAAGGTTCCCTTTGTAAATGCCATAAAAGATACTTTAATCCCTTTAAATACTGTGAATACCTATGTATTTTTGTAGCATTAATTCTCTTTTCTTTACAGATACATAGCTAAAATATGTGCTGCTTGTTGGATATGTTCCCATGGATAAGCCTCCCTGTGTGCAATGACTCTGAGGTTAAGTCTCACTTTTGGACTACTTTAATCTTCTCTTTGCAACTCTCCCCTATAATAACTGCTCAGGAAACACTCATAGTGACAGGCACTGGGCATGGCTCACCAGAAATTCCACAGGGCTCATGTACTACTTAAAGCAAACTTGTAAGATATGTTTTATTCTTGTTTTGAAGACAATGTTTAAGAAGCTTAAGTAAACCCCCTAAAAACAGTGAGAAACAGATCAAGAATTACAACCAAGGTAGACTTCAACTCCATATTCTTAAACATTATGCAATATTATCTGCCTTCTATAGGAGACATTACTTTTTATAGTAAAACCTAAAGATATTATCATTAAGATATGAGAAAAAATAGAAGAAAAAGCATGAATTCCTTTCTCTTGTAATCATAATCACTACAAATGACCTCTTAATGAGTTATGTATTTTTGATTCAGTTTTATAACATATACTATATAAACTAGTGGTACTACAGTCAACATGTAAGGTCAACAGAAATTTGATCAGATATGGTAATGCTAATTCGTTATAACTCTATAATCACTAAAAGTGACCAATAAGGAAAGTTACTGAAATATATGGTACTGTCTAATTTAGGTCTTACAAAACAATTCAAGACACAGTCCCTGGACTTTACCCTCATTTGAAAAATTCACCTTTGGTTTCAAAGAAAATGGGACTCTTCAAACCAGCTAGCAAAATGACTGTTATCTTATTTATTAGTAACAGTATCATTCATACTGTTCTATTTTGATTAGCCATGAACATTGGCAATGTAGACATAAAGCAAGCTGGAAGACAAAGCAGAGTTGACAATTAAGGAAACCATTAAAATCAAGGATTCAAGGGAAGTGACATAATCTGAGCAAGGAAGACTTCATTAAGGAATGAAAGGAAAAGAGAAAATAGGCTCTACAGATGAAAATATATAATATATATTATAAAGGAGGGAATGGACTCAGAAACTGGCAAGTGAGAAAATATTGTGAGTAGGTGGGACCTGGTAAGATATACATGAAAAAGTGAATTAACTGTCTTAGGGAGTTAAGGAGGCTTGACCTTAAGAAAGAGTCAAAGAACAGATAGGAAATGAAAACTTATAAAGGAAGTTGGTGGACCTAGAATATCAGCCTAAAAATTCCAAATTTTGTTTTGCAAGCATTGGTGAATTATTTCATATATATTTCTATTTATTTAACAATCAATTAGTCAAGAACAATATATGTGATTCTTTAATGATCTCTGAAGGAAGTCAACCTTGGATCGTATGTTCATTTACAACAACAATCATGGCAAAAATATTTTACATATTAAAATTTATGTTTGAAGGCATTTAACATAATTTTCATTGTTCTTTAAAAATGAATTTAGGTTTATTTTTTAATTGACATTTAAAAACTGTACATAAAGGGGGTGCTGCGTGACACCTCAATACATGTACAAACTGTCACACTTAGGTAAACATATCTATCTCCTCCAACATTCTTACTTCCGGCTTTTAAAATGCAATAGTCAAGTACTATCTACTATACCTGACAGTTGCAGCTAATTTGTTTAGCTCCTCTTCTGAAACCAAGTCTGTTTTATTGATAAGAATCATGTCTGCCAAAGCAACTTGCCTAAAACAGCAAAGTATCAGAAAAAAACTGTTAAGAAATCACAACAACATTTAAATCAACATTCCAATTAAGAACTAGTGTGGCTTCAGTTTACTCCCAATCTACTCATTCTACAGAAAATTTCATGTCATTATGTAAGCTCATCCAAAAATTATGTTACTGATTCTATAAAGATAAGCCTCCAGAGTTTTTAATCTGAGAATAATTTTTAATTCATGGTGTGTGTGTGTGTGTTTGTACACATGCACACATATGTTAAAGAAAAGCATAAAATTCAGTTACACATTATGATGAGAATAAGGACAGCCTATTAGATAAAAACTGCAAAATTCACCACAATTTTCAAAATACAGGGAAAAGGTAACTTAAAATAAAAAGTTTGCTTTAGAATACTATACTTCAAAAAATATATCAAGATCTTATATAAATATCTTCTTCATCCCTATGAATATGTATTTATTATTGTGAATTAGATACACAGAAATCCCAGTTAAATAACCCAACTGATAAAATGCTATATAACAGATTATTTCCCCCAATTCTACATGAAATTCTAATGACTGTATTATTAGTTTCTGTTGGTATTCGGGCATCTGTACTGGTCTGTCTTTGGGGTTCTGATGGGTTATGCCCTCAGCTGCAGCCACTAAGAGCACCATCTGTGTATATTCATTATGTCCCTTTTAAAAGGGTCCTGTCTACCTCCATTCTCCTTCTTCCTCTCCCTTCCTTCTCTCCTTCCCTCCCTCTCCCTCTCCCTCTCTCCTCTCTCCTGCTGCTCCTGCTGCTGGTCTCCCCCCCTTCCCTTCCCTTTCCCCTTATGATCCTTTTACCTTAAAAAAACAAAAAACAAAAACCTCCTCTGCTCGATCCCTGTCTCATGGCATCTTTCAAGTGCTGCTTTTCTTAAATTACAACAATTTCTAATTCTGTTCTTAAGATATAAATTAAAGAACATAAGCAAATAAAATATTGTATATCATAATCCTACTTCTATTTAAGTATTTTAATGTGGCTGAAGACTGTATGTACATATTCCAAAATATTAACCGTCACAATCTTTTATTGGAGACCTTCTATTTAATCTTTCATGGACTTCACAACATTCTGATATTATCTATTTAGCTTATGTATACTTTCTATAATAACCATTTCAGGAGGAAAAAGTTTCAATCATATTAAAATTCATTTTAATTAAGTCACAAGTACATAATGACACAATATTTAGGAAGGATTACAAAAGAATTCAATCATCAAACTCCAAAATAACAAGGAATTACTTGCTTACAGTCCTATTTTCCTGTGCTGAGGTCATCTGTAGCATATCCCAGGAGGCCTCACTCTTAAGCCCAGCAGCATATTTGGTTTCAATACCTACATCCCATTAGTAAAAATATGCTTAGGGTAGGGAAACTAATTTGAATACTTGTAAATCTACAGACAAAACAATTAAGAACATAAAAGTACTTAAAACTGCTTTAAGTGCCAAGTCAAAAGTGTTTCAGTATTTGCTCCTCTGTACTTAGTAACAGGGAGGACTGAGACAGTTTCTAAGGGAGCAAAGTAATTCTTCAATTCCAAAGACTCCAGCTGGCCTCGTGGTGCAACGGTAGCTTGTTTGACCCCAATTCCAACGACTCAGCATTAGAGTCAAATGCTTCTAAATGCTAAAATCTTGTAAGTTCATCAAATCAACTAAGTCCTGCGCCCACCACTCATTTTATCACACAATATTAATGGTTTAAATAAAATGCTAGTCATTAATTAGTCCATGATGGGTAGTCAGCAATAATGTGTGGAAGGAAAAGAAAGTAAGTTTGCCTTAACTATCTTCATATTTTTAGTACTTATCGTTTTGCTTTTATGTTACTTATCTTCTTCTCTCTGGCTAGTTAGCAATCAATGTAAGCTTTAAATTTGAATACCTCGCAGCTTCATTGACAAGGCCATCGGGTTTTTCTTCAGTTAAATGCTGAACAAAACAAAATTTTAAAATATTACTCTAATATAATATAAAATCTAATGTCAATCAGTTAAATGCTGAACAAAACAAAATTTTAAAATATTACTCTAATATAATATAAAATCTAATGTCAAAAAAGGATTTTACTTTAAAGCTACCTTTTTTAAAATCTTAATGAGACTTCAAGTTCCACTACTAAATACAAATGTAGAAAGATTTATTTAGTTAGTTACTATAATTGACTTAGAAGGCCATGAGATACTTTTCACCTCCAGAGGCAGCTCCTCTCTCAACACTATTTATATCCTTAAGGCATCTATGCCATAAGGGTTACCAGGGGTTGTCTTCTGCAAATTCATGTTTTCAACCTATCACCTTACCTCTCAACAGAGACTCCCAATCACAACAAAAGACTGGCTACTCAGGACCACAGACAACTAGATATCAACATTTTACGCTCTAATCAAATTTTATAAATTATTTAATTTTTGGGTTGGCGAGATGGCTTAACCATTAAGGGCTAAGCTCAAAATCAAAAATAATTTCATTTTTAAAACATTTTAACTCATTTAGACATCATGACAATGAGAAGTAGCTATTTTCATTATTTATATATATATAAAAGAACTTCAATCTAATGCCCTCATCATCACAGAATACTGTTTTTACATACTACCACCAGATTATTTTTTATTAAAAACTCACTTAATAGAAGTAAAGTGAACACAATTTAAAATCTTTTTTAAAAGCTGTTATGCCATGTACAACCAGTCTTATGCAGAATGCTACTTAACAATTACATAAGAATATACTTAGAATTATGTACAAATTACATCATATTTTGTCAGGCTAGTTTCACAATTCATGGGGAGGTGATTATTAGAGCTTAGAACTTAAGACACAATGAAGATTATTTAATAGACTTGGTTAAGAGTAAAAACGTGATCTTTTTTTCTTCTAAAAGTTTACCAAATACAACAGAACAAAAAGGACCCAAAGTCATGACAGTGACATAGTCATTTCATTTCTTAATACAATTTTATAAATTCAACCACATACTTACTCCCCAGTTACAGAGCTCACAGAACAGAGTGTATTGTATCAATAATTACTCCATGACAAAAGACCAAATCTAATATTCATGTTTTCATAATTATTCATGGCTTCTTATTGTTAGTAAATCCATTTAGTATGATAGAATAAAGCTACCATCAGGTCCTAGAACAGTCTATAAATGAACTGTAGCTAACAATCCTATTTGCTGATATAGACACATAAATCTGTTATTTTAAAAATGGTATAAAACATACAGCAGCATATCTCTTTCCACTGAGCAGTCAAAATGATAAATCTGCATCTGAATGATCCTATGCATTAATCTTTAAAGCTGAAATATTTCTGAAGCTGCTCCACTGGGCTTCATTTGCATGCATACCAATACATGCATCTGATTGTGACTCTAAAACATGTAAAAAAGATATTAAAATTTAATGACTTTAAATTTTTCTTAAATGTAATTTTAAAAAGTCTGGCAGTTTCACAAAACAACCTGCAATGTTTTAAGTCATTTATCCAAGATAGATTTTCAATCAGAACTAAATGGGACACACTAACATTTGATTATCTTTGGACAGATAAGAGATTAAAAACAAAAATTACTTAAAATCTCCCAAAATGAAAGGCTGGCAATTTGTACAACCTGATTACAAGTACATGTGATGATCCTAGAAAAAGAGATAAATGCCCTGCCTATGCACATATGAAAATTTTCTAAATGTTAAAAGTAGTAAATGTATACTAACACTTATTTTTCTGAGTATCAGCCCTACAGTTCCCTTATGAAAGTTCTACCTCCCCAAGCCAAGCTTAGCAAAAAGACCAAAACCTTGTTTGCTATTCAGAAGATATTTGGTCATAAGTCAGACTTCCATTTATAAAATAAGAACAAGAATTTAAATTTTGATATTCTATTCTACCTATAGAGGCATACAATAAAAAGTTTACTAAAAGTAAAACACAACAACAAAAAAATACCTATCTCCAAGGAATTCCTCATCTCTGCTAAAGGCTGTAGCTTTTGTTTATACTTCAAAAGAGGCAATAATAATTTTAGTACTAATGAAGCTAAAAGCCAACACATTCAAAGAGAAAAAGTTCACACTCCCAATGTGGCCTACCGTGACAAACAAAATGAGGGGAGATGGTGGCCAATGTGCACATGTCCTAGATTCTCTGGAGGAATAGATTCTGGAAATTTATTCTGGAAAGCTAATTATAGCATGGCAACTATAATTAGGACTATGGGATGGGGTAATAGAAATTTCCAGAATGATCTCATCCTATATGCTAACAAAAACTGTTAACTATGCAAGTAGATGGACAAGGTTGGTATTTGGTTGTTTCACAATGTCTTTAGGACATATACACAGACAGATCAGGGTAGCAAATTGTATACCTTAAATCTATAACTTTTATTTATGGGTATGGCTCAATAAAATTGAGGAACAAAAAAAAAAATTCAAGATAAATTACTACTATAGTTACAACTTCAAGAAGGGCTACAGGAGTTCTTTCCTGCAAGGGGGAAAACAAAAAACCATGAGCAAACAAAGAAAATAAATCAAAATGGTCTAAAAATTTATTAACTAAGAAAGAACTGTGCTGACCACAGTGGAAACAAATTCAATGTCAAAGATGTCTGCCATCAGACAAAGAAAAAGGAGAGAAATAGCAGCATTAAAACAACAACAACAACAAAAACAAAAAAACAAGGACTGGTTAGAGAGCTAAAGTAGTTTCAGCTTTGAAAACAAATTATCGCATAATGCCTATTTATTTTTCTGGACTTTTCCAAGCCAAACTGATTTCTTACAGAATTGTTTCAATAGCTTGTGTAATACAACAGAAGACTCAAAAAGAAACCTCTTACTTGACCTTTTATGTGTAAACTTCATTCATTGATTCTATTGCATTAAATGCTGTCACATTTGTAGAACTGAAAAGAACCATGTCAGTGCCTAGATGTCAAGCCTTGAGAATAGAGAGCTGTCATTTTAAGTTGTCCAATTCTTTGCCCATGATTAAAAAATGAATATTTCAGATCAATGGGTGACAATCCCATTAGAGTGATAGCCCATGATATCAATTACCACTTCAGTTTCAATTTGGCTGGCTGGCCACAGGGTACCATTTCTCAGCTTTACTTGTGATGGGCTGGCTCTGTGAAGCATGACACCCTTAAATTGCTGCCCATTATCCAACTGTCATTACTTGTACAGCCTCAGAATTCTCTGAATCACAAGCAGCTACTGAGGTCAAGCTTTGCAACCAGAGGAATTGGACAAGTTGGCAAATTCTTTATATAAAGGCAAAGTTATTTATCTGACATCTGACTTGGAAAATCTAAAGTTTCCATTATCCTGACAGTATGTCAGTTTTGTGTAGGTATATTGATTTAATAATTTAAGAGGTTTTATCAAGGTGACAAGGGGTTAAATGTATACTGTGTTTGCATAGAACACTGCTTTGTTTTGGGGTCTTCATCATGCCAGTAAAAGATTCTATTTAATTCCTCTCTATGTCTAACTACAAATATAAAACTATTACTATAAACATAAAACACCAGTTTGACTTTGAGTAAAGCATGCTAAATCTATATAAAAAAGCAAATGAAATGTTCTAGCTGCTATCTTAGGTACCCTAAATTTCTGAAACAATTTATAGAGGAAATTAATTCAAACATGCCTATAAAAATGTTCAAAATGAGAAACATTAAGTTTTCTAGTGGTTTTTTGTTTGTTTGCTTTTGTTTTTTGAGACAGGGTTTTTCTGTATTGTTTTGGAGGCTGTCTTGGAACTCGCTCTGCAGACCAGGCTGGCCTCGAACTCACAGGGATCCTCTTGCCTCTGCCTCCCGAGTGCTGGGATTAAAGGCATGCGCCACCAACGCCCGTTGCTTCTAGTGTTTTTTTTTTTAACTATCTCCATTCACATTTTCTTGAAATATTATTTGAAAATAACCATTAACATGATTATTTTTCTGTTGAGAAGTCTGTTTCTCTCTCTTTCCCTCCCTACCTCTTATCCCAGCTCTGAATGCCTATAGTTAAATCTATGTTAAAAAATCTTTTTAAAACAAATTACAACTTTTTTTTTTAAGAAGAAACCCATTAAGCAAAGTGTAGTGAACCACAACTAAAGCCCTAGTACTCAGGAGATGTAGGGTAAGGGTTATGAGTTTGAGGACAGCCTGGATTCAGGATTGCATAGGCTAAACAGTATGAATAAAACTGTGATATTTGCAATCTTTCTTTGAGTCCTATTCTATTCATAAGTTTAGATTGCAAATTCTAGAACAAGATTCAAATGTCTCAAATTAGGGTACTGAGAGCTGAGGTATAAAGGGTCAGTAAAGTAGACTGATAGCCATTTGAACAGACCTGACAAATTTTCTCACAACATAATTTCATTGAAGACTTGGAAGAAAGACCAACATAAAAATTAAGTTTAGATACATCAATAGGTAAAATACTCAACTAATGTATAAACACTGATTTTTAACTCCCGAGAAATTTTGTTTGTTTTCTGAGCCAGATTCTCACTGGCTGGCCTGGAATTCACTATGTAGATCAAGCTGCCCTCCAACTACTGACATCCACTGTCTCTACCTCCCAACTTCTGAGACAAAAGGTGTGCACCACTATACCCAGCCTCCATGGAACTACTGGGAAGTGCTATTTTACCTTATGCAGCAATAAGCATTTGAGTGCATTTTCTAAGTTGAAGCTAAAGAAATACACTTAAAAACCTCAGCAGTTGTATCATTTAATGAAGAATCTCTTCTTATTAAGCACTAATTTTATTTCTTCAAAATTAAATAGGTCAGTATTTTATCTAAAAAACTAATTTATAGTTTGTGTTTGCTAACAGTTCTTCACAAAACTAAAATCTCATATATTTTATTAAGCTGATTTTTTTCTTTTTCTTTTCTTTTTTTTTTTTTTTTTTTTTTTTTGGTTTTTTCGAGACAGGGTTTCTCTGTAGCTTTGGAGGCTGTCCTGGAACTCACTTTGTAGACCAGGCTGGCCTCGAACTCTGATTTTTTTTTCTATAAAGAAAAACCAATAGTGGGAATAGATTATAGTGAGAAGTAACACATATCCAAACATTCTTTTTTTTTCGTTTTTTTTTGTTTGTTTGTTTTTTGAGACAGGATTTCTGTGGCTTTGGAGGCTGTCCTAGAACTAGTTCGTAGACCAGGCTCATCTCAAACTTAGAGATCCACCTGTCTCTGCCTCCTGAGTGCTGGGATTAAAACGGTGTGCACCACCACTGCCCTGCTGACTATTATTTTGAAAAAGGTTTTTCTTAAGAAAATTTTAACAGAAACAGGAAATAATACAACCAGCCCCTCCATTCTTTCTCCTTGACAATTAGCAAGTTATATTTACTCAACTTACTTTTAATCCATATTTTGAATCTACAACAGTTATGATACCTACAAAAAATATAAACAAGTTAGTCACTCCTTAAAGTTGTCAGCTTTATGCAACTATACTTAAGAAGGAAAATTAAAACATCCTTCAGTTCATAAATATTATTCAATGAAGTACTTTTTCTCTTACCAATGCAGCAAATTAACTCATTCTCAGGAATAAGCAATTATGTTTCAAATATATATTGAATTACTAGCTGTTTCTAAAAAATGAAAAAATTTATAAAATAAAATTTAAAAATTAAGTCAATAATAAAATAAAACTTCTTTGGTGTTTAAAAGTTTTAAAGTCCAAATGAAGATTCATTCCATAATATATAATGAAATAAGACAAATTAACACAAGACAGGTTATTTTTATTTTCACAATAAAAATAAAGCTTTTCTAAATATTTAATGTTTAAAGAATCTGAGACATCATTTTTTTTTCTGGTTTTTCTAGCCACGGTTTCTCTGTAGCTTTGGAGCCTGCCCTGGAATTTGTAGCTAGTCTTGAACTCATAGAGATCCACCTGTCTCTGCTTCCTGAGAGCTGGGATTAAAGGTGTGCACCACCACCGCCTGGCTATCTGAAACATTCAATGATTCTTACCCTATAGTCTATATGACTGGTTTAAAGAAATATAAAGAGAAGAAATGAGAACTGACAGGGCAAAGTGAATATAGCTGCTACACTAAGTGGTATCGAGCTTATAAATTTACACAGACTGACAAGAGTTAGGTAGTGTATGTACACATACAGCACTCTGAATTCTCATCTGGAAGGAGGAATGAAAGCAGGAATATAACCTTTCCCGGGTCTTCCTAACTAGCTACAAAGATCTACCTTTATACTAAGTGCACCATGGCAACAGAGGATACAAGCAATCTATAGAGATTTTGAAAGGAAAGCCTGAGTAAAAGTCTTGAGAGCAATTCCTAAAAATGCAGTTTTATCACTGACCAGGACTTTAGAATCGCTTATCAACAAAAACTTGATCCATCAAAAATTAAACAAGTTTGAAAAGAACAATGGTGTAAGAATTATAACTGCAATATAAACAAAATGAGCTCAACCATAAAATAAACCTTACCTAAAAACACAAGAAATATTTTAACTTACCATCAAGATAAATATCACTCCCTAACTCAGCATCAACCCAAAACATGGAAGCCACTGCACCTGAAAATATATAATATAATAATATTCATCAAATAAAGTATTTCTTCAAATTACAAAACACAATTTTAACAGTCTTATTTTTCACCAGTGGAATTAGCTGCTAAAAACATATACAAACTAAACCTATACTTCAATCTTTTTATGAGAATTACAGTGATAGGACTTTTCAAGATCTGCAGTCATCCTATTCCTCTCCCTTTTTATAAAAACAATAAATCTTAGCATTTATCAAACATCATGCTTCTATTGATGCTAAAATAATTTACCAATAAATACTATGAAACAATTTGGATACAATAGCTGAGTATACATTGGATGTGTCTTTTCATTTCCTGACTATGATTATCATACAGTTCACAAATAATAAATTCCTCCCAAGGGAAAGCAAATACAACACATTAACTCCAAAACTCACTTGCCCAAAACAAATCCACTTGTAATCTTTATAGAAAAAGAACAAGAAAAATTACAGGTTCTCTAGTGGTACTCATTGTCACATATTGCTTAGTACTAAGCACAAAATATGCACCCGAAGAAAAAATATTTCTAAGAAAGAAATTAAAATTTGTTTTTGACAGGAACTGGTTTAACACAAAACCACACATTCTGATTAGTGTGCAGCAATACAAGAAAAGGAAACTGACAGCAAAGGAAAGCATTTGATTTTTCAAAGCACCACTGTCCCAGTTAGTAATGGTGCTGTCTAAAAGAATGAACATCAGGGCAAACAAGGATAACTGAACTCATCCTACTGTCTAAAGCTGTCTACCTACTCTGACAAGATGTGGTCCTGCTAAGCATCACTCTGTGTCAACAGTGAAACACCTGTCAGCTGTTTATAGTGATTACTCATGCAAGATATAGCAAGGGCCACAAGACCTAATGGTTTCCTGATACCTATTGATTTTTTCCCAAAAACTTAATAGTTTTCCAATTTGACTGAAATGGGATTTGTGAGTAACAGGAGGAGAATCAATGTCTGTCCTTTTCAAGGAAATTACTTTACCATGACAATTATTTAGCTAAGAACCAGAGAGTGTCAGTCTCCTAAGTGAGAAACAACTGAATTGCCAATAAGAATTATTTCCACTTTCTTGGCTAAAAACATGGTTTTAATTAATAAAGGAGAAAAGAGTAAATTTACTACATCATGACACCAAACAGTAAGATACAAAAAAGCATTATTTTCTTTACTTAGCCAAATATGTAGGTATGTTAGTATCGTAGTTTTTTTTTGTTGTTGTTGTTTTGTTTTTTGTTTTTCGAGACAGGGTTTCTCTGTATTGTTTTGGAGCCTGTCCTGGAACTCTCTTGGTTGACCAGGCTTGGTCTCGAACTCACAGAGATCCACCTGCCTCTGCCTCCTGAGTGCTGGGATTAAAGGCGTGCGCCACCAATGCCCGGCAGCATCGTAGTTTTATAACTCTAAAACCTCACTGCTTTTTATTCAAATAAATGGCTCTAAGTCTTATATAAGAATATAAGGATGAATTATAAATGTGTATTATAGCTTTTATTCTAAATGTCATTTACATCTGATAGAATCCTTACAAGATGCACAAGAAAGAACTATCTGACTATAAATGTGGGTGCTTAGGAATAGCAAAGATGAGGGAGTGGAGTGGATGACTCTTCTCCCCAGGGAATATTAGGCAATGCCTGAAGATAATTCTAGTTGCTTCTAGGAATGTGCTACTGGTAGGCAGAACCAGGGATGCTATTAAACATTCTATAATGGTCAAGAAAGCACCCCTCACAAATGATAACTGCCATCCAAAACATCATTCGTGCCAAAGCTGAGAAGTTCTGAATTATATTACAGGATCTACCTACTTCAAAACCTGAAACTTTTTTTAAAAAATTAAATATCAAAATTTTATTAGAACAAGCAAATAATAAGAAATGATCAGTTCCCTAACCATAAATTTAGAAGTGTAATAGTCAAAATTGGAAACAAAGTTCTGTGTGAAGGTGGTGGTTTGAATAGGAACGGCCCCCACAGGCTCACATATTTGAAGGCTTGGTTATTAGGGAATGGTGCTACTTAACAGGACTAGGATGTACGGCCTTGTTGGAGGAAGTATGTCACTGGGGATAGTCTTTGGGGTTTTAAATGCTCAGGCCAGGCCCAGTGTCTGTCTCTTCCTGCTGCCTTCAGATCCAGATGTAAAATTCTTAGCTACCATGTCTGCCTGTGTGCTGCCATGCTCCCTATAATGAAGATAGCAGACTAAACCTCTGAAACTGTGAGCAAGCCCCACAGTTTGTAAGAGTTGCTGTGGTTATGTGTGTCTTCACAGCAACAGAACACTGGCTAAGACAGTGAGTTATTATGGTCTTTCCTAACTCAATTTCCACCCCCAAAAGAGGTTCCAGAAGAATAGTTTACAAAATTCTACTATTATCTCCCCAAAACACAAGATGTAGGACTAACTGGAAAGCAATAAAGGGGAAGTGTCAATGATAACAACAAATACTTCACAAATAAAAACATGTAATTACTTCTATGTCGGGAGAATTTGCTTTGTGGGACTGAGAGCAAAAGGAACAAGAGCCATGAGGTCTAATGATGCACCACAGCATCAAGGACTGAATATGTACTGTAGGTGAGGGGAACAAACCCAAGGAAGCCACACTCGATATTTGAGGGCAGAAGTTAAAGCTAAAATCACACGCACACACTCACGCGCGCGCGCGCACACACACACACACACACAAGATAGTGAAGATATTGCCAGGTGGTGATATCAGGTGCACGCCTTTAGTCCCAGCACTCAGGAGGCAGAGGCAGGAAGATCCCTGTGAGTTCCAGAACAGCCTCCAAAGCTACAAAGGAACCCTGTCCTGTCTCAGAAAAAAAAAAAAGAAAAGATAGTGAAGATATTAAAAGGAATCAATGAACACAGGTAAAAGAAAGTCCTCTGACTTTCCCACAACAGGCACAAAAGCACACATATGATTTTAGCAGAGGAAAACAAATACAGATAAACATCAGAAAGGGAAAAATAATGAAATAATTTAATAGAACAACATATGGCAAAGGATTCATTTTGAAAGGAAACATAATCCAAGAAATCAAATAAAACTTTGAAGTAGCTCTTCGTAGCAAAAAAATACAAAACAACAACAACAAAAAAACCTAAAAGCAATAGAATACAAAAACAAGCTTGAAGGCAAGAGGGAGAGAGAGATAGTAGAATAATATGAGGCTTCATATCACTAATAAATTTGGAATGAATTTAATAGCATCATTGCTTAATCAATAATTAATTTATAATAGGAGAAGAAAACAGTATGAGGGGGATTACTGACATACAGAAAGCATAAGACTATCAGAGTAAACATACCTGCAGAAGATAAATCAGAACAATTAAAACATGGCTAAGGGCATAGTATGTACAAGGTACTCAAAAACAGTAAAAAAGAGAACTAGAAGCCAGAGATGGCTCAACAGGCAAGGAGGCACACTGCCAAACCTGATCCTTTGAGTCTAGTCCCAGGACCCACATGGTGAGGAGAGACAAAAGACCAACATGGTGAAGAAAGAGAGCCGACTCCCACAGATTGTCCCATGAACTCCACACATGTACCACAGCATTCACATTCATATTCATTCTCATTTATTCAGTCATTCATTTTCTCTCCCTCCTTCACCCTGTAACCCCTTTACCTTGTAAACCCAACTATATAAGCAAATTAATATAATTTTTAGAAGAAAATTAGACTAGTTAAAAGAACAAAGCAAAATTCATTGGTCTCACTAGTATAGAACCAAATAATTGGACATGAAAAAAATATTCACAGTAATAAAAAAATGAAAATGTCCTTAAATAAAGTGTAGAAAAAACACAGCTAAAAACAAAAACAAATTCCCACATTTTCACCAGACCACAAAGATTTGGGGTCTGACCCCAGTGACTTTTGATGTATTATGCAAACATCAGGGGACTAATTAATTTTTGTAATTTATGAGTGTTTTGCATGCATATTTATCTGCTAGATGAGGGAACTGAATCCCCTAAAACTGGAGTTACAGATGGTTGTGAGCTGCCATGTGAGCTCTGGGACTGAAACTGGGTCCTCTGGAAGAACAAGCAGTGCTCTTAAGTGCTGGGCCATTTCTCCAGACCCCTGGGGCCTAATCCTTAATGACCAATGATACCCTATTCAATCTCAAGAGCACCCATGTCAGGTAGCTCACAACCACCTGTAACTCTAGTTCCAGGGGATCTGACACCCACGTCTGGCTTCTTTGTGCACCTGTACATATATGTTACATATGTTACACACATGTTGTGGGAGCTAAATCCGATTAGTCAATGACATTTAGGGCGAGTAGCCATATGGGCATGGTTTTCTCTGATATAGACTGGTTAAGAACTGATCATGGCCGGGTGTTGGTGGCGCACAACTTTAATCCCAGCACTCGGGAAGCAGAGGCAGGCGGATCTCTGTGAGTTCGAGGCCAACATGGCCTACAGAGCAAGTTCCAGGACAGACTCCAAAACAATACAGAGAAACCCTGTCTTGAAAAACAAACAAACAAACAAACAAACAAACAAAAAGAACTGAGCATGGGTGGTGGGGGTTGTACTCTCTCTCTGGCTTGGATGTGAAAGGATTCCTGATGCACCATTTGGTAACCTGGTCTGGAGCTTTCTCCATCCTTTCTTGGTGGATGAAGAGGCAATGGTGTCGCCTCCCACTGTATGTTTGAGTGTGTGTTTTCCCTATTTTATCCCTTAATAAATAAGTCTTCCCAAGCATCCATGGTTTTTTTGCAACACACACACACACACACACACACACACACAAATCTTTATTAAAAAATAACTTATTCCTACCAATAACTCTACATCAATTAATACAACTTCAAATTCTATTAATAGCTTAAATGTCTCAAGAAGTACAGTGATGACTCTTACATGACACAAGCCAGAATTTCTCTTCTTTTGAACAATAACAAAAATTAAATCCAGAGAAAAGCTTTAGGGCTCAACAGGAAAAGCACTTCCTGTGCAAGAGTTAAGACCAGACCCAAAACGTCCACATAAAAGCTGGGTGGGCATGGCCACCCACCTGCGATTCCATCATGGGGAAGTAAATAAAAACAAGCTAGAGACAGGGAATTCCTGAAGCAAGCTGGATAGCCAGACTAGCAAAAGTGACAAGTTCAGCTCTTAGTTCATTGAGAGACCCTACATCATCAATACCTAAGGTAAAAGCCCACACACATTTGAACATGTATACATTCATGGATGCACACCATACGCAAAAAATAAGGCCTTAATCTCATTTTAACTAGTTCTCTAAGGTATAAAGAACTATATGCTAGTGACTAATAATGTCATTTCTTACCAGGATCTGCTAGTCCAGTGGTCTCTAAGAGTATGTAATCAAATTTCCCCTTCTTTTGCATCAGATTCTCTATAGCTCTAAGGCCATTGTCCCTGAGAATACCAAAAACATAGTAATAACTGACTAACTGAACGTTTTAAAATAGTCACAACACAACACAAAAATGTTTTCAGGTACATACAAATATTAACTCCTTCTTCAAGTTCCTAATAAAATGTCCAATATTTAATGATAAGAAAATAGATGCAAATACAGACAGATATGATATGTGTAATAAGTTCATTTTTTATTAAAACTAAAAGCAAAGGGGATGTTATAAAAGTCAGTATTTTATTTTACAGCTTTATAAAAGAAAACCAGTATAATGATGAAATTTATTGTCTAGAGTAGTTCAATACGAAATTAAAGGAACAATGTCACTGCATACCTTTTAACTATAGTCTGAATTAGGGTGCAGTATAACTTCCTTGAGGGGGGAGGGGAAGCCTCTCACTATACAGCTCAACCTTGTCTGGAACTGTAAATTGTCCTGCTTCCACTCCCAAATGCGGGGATTACAGGTTTTAATACATGTTTTTATCCTTATAGTAGCAAAAGTTAAGGTAAATACTGAATGTGGTGCCTTTTGGTTAAGAAAATCTTCATGACTATTTCCTCTTTCCAAAAAGCATTACTCAGTGAGTGCCAAACATTTATAAGCAATGCAAGAGAAACTTAATTCACTATAATGTAGAAAAGTCAACAGCACATATAGTAATTATGACAATTTATCCAAGTGATTATTTTATCAGATAATTTATCTGAGTTGCTGTTTTATGGCAAGTACTCTTCTAGGACCTATGGAAGCTTAGGAAACTAAGGGGACACTGTCCATGGAAACTTAAGCAGTAACTTAACATAAGGTTCTTTCTCTGTTTCTTTGTGTGTTTATGTGTTGATACTGGGATTTGAACACAGAACCACACATACACTAAGCAAGCATGCTACTACTAAGCTACATTCCCAGTCTCTTTTTTCTTTTATTTTGAGATAATATCTCATTAAGTTGCCCAGGCTAGATTTGACTCACTTGGTAACCCAGATAGGCCTTAAGAGGCTCCTGCATCAGCCTCTCAAGTAGCTATGACTACAAATCTGTGTTACCAGGCTTGGCTGATTCTTCTCTCTTTTGTATGTGTTTGTATGTGTAGGCATGTGTGGTGATGTGTATATGCATGTAGAAGACAGATACCAATGTTGGGTGTCTGTCTCAATAGCTTCCCACACTATTGTTTTTCTGGCAGGATCTTTCACTTACTGCCCAGCCAATGGAGATCTTACCCGTCTTCCTGCCTACCCAGCACTGGGATTACAAGCTGACACTGCCACACCTGACTTTCCATGTTGATGCTCAGTTTTTAACCTGGGTCTTCAAGCTTGTGTAGGAAGCACTTTACCCACAGACATTTCCCAGCCCATGACTGTTCTCTTTTATGACAGTCATCTATTTTTTATTTAAGAGAGATTGAATACTTAGGGGATGGAGAGATGGCTCAGAGCAATTGTTGACCTTTCAGAGAGTTCAATTCACAGCACTCACATGGTAGCTTACAACTGTCTGTGACTCCAGTTTCAAGGTATTCAGTGCCTTCTCTGGACTCTATGGGCATGATGCATGAATGTGGTACACAGGCATATATGCAGACAAAATACCAATACACATAAAATACAAATTTTTAAAGAAAAAAATGAGGTTGAATACTTGGAAATAAGAATAATGACACATTAAATTCAGAATAATTTTGTTTTACATATGAAATAAGATACTGAAAAATAATTTTAAAAAATTCAATGAGAGACTATGAACATTAGAACAAATAGAAAATAATAGCAAGGAACATTTAAAGAAAGCACAATCTAACAAATGTATATCCTATCCAAAAAATACAATGATACAAGCTTTGCAGGCAAATTCAGTTAAACTACACAGGAAAACCAAAGCTGGAAATATAATCAACAGACATCTTAAGTCATCCAACAAGCACATAGTAAGCCCACTCCTTACTTCACGGAACAGCAGAGGCAACCGTTTCTAAGTTCCAGCCACTCTTCATACAGTTCTCCACCTTGACTGATAGATAAGGATTTCTCTACCGCACTCCCTAAAAACAGGAACAGGCAGTCTTTAGATTACTTTCACTAGCCAAGCAAAAAACAAGAGGATGTTCAGAAACAGAGTAGATTCCAATACAGAAACTATAGCTTAGCACATGCATTCTCTCATAATTCTAAATTAACCAATAAAACTTCAAATTCTATTAACAGCTTAAAAGTTTCAAAAAGTATACTGATGACTTTTCTGTGATGGAATCCACAATCTCTCATCTTTTGAACAACAAAAAAGTAAAACCTAAAGTCAGTATTTAATTCAGCAAATACTTAAATTATGGTACTCTAGATGATTTTAACTTTTCTTTCTGAAGATTTAAATAGAGCCAGGCATGGTGTACACCTGTAATCCCAAAACTTAGGAGTCTAAGGCTGAAGGATCTGCAGTTTAAGATACAACTGGGCTCCAAAGCAAGCTCCAATTCAGTCTGGGCTACACAGTGAGACCTTATCCCAAAGATGTAAAGATGGCTTAAGAGCATTTGCTGCTCTTGCAGAACCAGAGTTCAGCTCCTAGCACCCATACTACACACTGAACAGCTGACAACTACCTATAACTCCAGCTCCAAGGGATTCAAGGCTAATTTCTGGCCTCCAAGAGTCTTCTGCATACACATACACACACATACACTTTTTTGTTTGTTTGTTTGTTTGCTTGTTTTTGTTTTCTGAAACAGGGTTTCTCTGTGTAGCTTTGGAGGCTGTCCTGGAACTTGCTCTGTAGATAAGGCTGGCCTTAAGCTCACAGAGATCCACCTGCCTCTGCCTCCCGAGTGCTGTGACTAAAGGTGTGGACCACTACCACCCAGCTAATTTTAAAAAATTTAATGAACGGGGGCTGAAGAGATGGCTTAAAAGTTAAGAACACTCATTGCTCTTGCAAAAGACCTAAATTTGATTCTCAGCACCCACATGGGAGCTCACAACTGGCTATAGTCCCCAGTTCCAGGAGACCCAATACCCTCTTTTGTGTCACAGGCATTCATGTGGTGTATAAACACACACACAAGCAAAACACTTATACACATAAAATATTTATAAAATATTAAGAAAGTAATTTAAGTTAATAAGACAAATCCAAAATTAATAAGCATATTAATTCTTCCTCTTCTAGATTCTTAGTTGTCTGACTCTGTTTCTTAATAAGGAGCTACTATGAAGACTTTTTTTTCTTCTCATTCATTATAAGCTTTCTAAGTATACTGATATGCTTTTGAAATACTGGGTTTTGTATTTCTTCAATCTCTTATGAGATTGTTTTCCTTTTAATTCCTCACTAAGTTGGTGGTTTCTGTTATAAGGTTGCTCAGGATTCTAAATACATATTAAAACTCTACTTCATTTTGACAAAGAATTTTAGTCAGTATCATGCAGTCATTTAAAAATTAAACTTTTATTCAAATAAAAAAAGTCTCTTAGTAAGGCTTACCTGGGAAATAAGTACACATGAGATGTTTATCACAAGAATGATCTTAGATTTTTTTTATTATTTTAGATGTTTTACAGTGTATCTATACCAAGGAAAAATTTTAAATAGCAAAGAAAAGGAGGATCTCTGTGAGTTCAAGGCCAGTCTGGTCTACAGAGCGAGTTCCAGGGCAGCCTCTAAAACAATACAGAGAAACAATACAGAGAAATCCTGTCTCAAAAAAAATTTTCATTGTTCATTTATGTATTTTTCTGTACACATTTCAGTAGGGTAATGACAGAGTATCATGCAATACTAGGCTACATAAAACTTTATTAAAAAGTACTGAGGATGTTGCAAAAGGCAAAACCATAAAAACATTACAAAATGAAGAAAAACAGTAAAAAATAATGAATATAACCAGTGCACAACAAAATACCTATTAACGAAAAGCTAGAAAATGACTATTAGAAATTTTCTGATTTTTTGTTTTTTGAGACAGGGTTTCACTGTATTGTTTTGGAGCCTGTCCTGGAACTAGCTCAGTAGACCAGGCTGGTCTTGAACTCACAGAAATCCACCTGCCTCTGCCTCCTGAGTGCTGGGATTAAAGGCGTGAGCCACCAATGCCCAGCTTTAAAGATTTATTTATGTATTTATGTATGTATGTATTTATTTATTTATTTATACAGTGTTCTGCCTGCATATATCCCTGCAAACCAGAAGAGGGCACCAGATCTCATTACAGATGGTTGAGAGCCACTATATGGTTGCTGGGAATTGAACTCAGGACCTCTGGAAGAACAGCCAGTGTTCTTAACCTCTGAGCCATCTCTGCAGCCACTGAAATCTTCCAATTTTTAATGGCTAAAAGCATAGCTCAGAGAGAGAGGGAGAATATTCTTAGCATACCGGAAAACTTGCACCACAATCAATCAATCAGTCTCTTTAGATGTACTTCACTTATCATGTATGGGGAGGGCCTTGCGTTTGATGTGTACTGACTGTATGTGGAGGTCAAACTTTGGGGAGTTGGATCCCACCTGGCTGAGGCATGGTCTCTCTTGTTGCCTTCTGCCACTGCACTGCATACTCCAGGCTAGCTTAATAAAAATTAATCCTAATTTCTGAAACTATTCATAGTGACCTCATGTTATAAGGTCACTATGAATCCTATCTAAGTTTAAGTACTGGGTACCAATTCACCAGTGGAATAAAGGGTCTCAAATATTATTGCAATATTACAGTTATTGAACTTTACTTACCTTCTCCAAATTCATTTAAAATAACTGCTATTTTTCTATTATGCTGTTCAGTCAAAATGTAGTTTAGAAGTGTTGTCTTTCCAGCACCTATAAAATATGTTAAAGCAACAAAACTCAAAGACTAATTTTCAAAACATACTTAACAATAGTACAGAGGACTTTACAGAAGAGATTAGAACAATCTTTGAAAACTATCATAATATTCCTTATGTACATTTCATAATTACAAATAATTTTACAAGTTGAGTCAGTTTTCTAACTTAATGACTAAAATATGTCTTCATCATAACTTAAAGTACAGTAATAAAGGGCATCTAAAATCTACACTTAATAAAAGAATTAATTATGGTTTCTAAGAAATGTCACTTCATGCCAGGTGGTGGTGCATACCTTTAATCCCAGCATCAGGCAGATCTCTGTGAGTTCGAGGCTAGACTGGTCTACAAAGCTACACAGAGAAACCCTGTCTGGAAAAACCAAAAGAAAAAAAGAAAGACAGAAATAACACTTTTAAAATAAAAATATGTAGATTTCTTTCATGATGCCCCTTTTCTCAAGTAAGAATACTTGGTTACTTCCCTAAACTTATTCAACCTACTTCAATATTCACTAACTAGCTATAAATTCAGATTGACTATAAAGCTACTTTTAGTATGCGTAAGCAGCGTATTACTATAAAACTGATTTTATAAAATGGGATACAGAGATATTAAGTGTACACAAAAGACCATTCAGTCAATTCGTAAGACTATACTAATTTTATCCAGCAGGTGGCATAATAACCTAGTTTGTTCTTCTGAAGCAGAAGAAAAACAATCTTGTAAACCAAAGATTCTAAAGTTCATAATAGAATATATATATTTTTAAAAATTAACAACACCTTAACTGCACAGCAGTGTAATTTAACTATTGAAATGTATCATCATTTTTCTGTAGGTTTGATTGTCCCTAATATTTTACTGTCACAAGCAGTAATGCTAAAAAGTTTTACACACAGTTTTAACATGTTTACTAAAATACATTTGCAAGTTTCCCAGGGTATAACTAAGAGAGAGTTAGGGAGTATCAGGGTACTAATATCTTCAACATTTTAGGTTATTTTCCTTTTAAGAGTTCTTGAAGGAGATACTGTTGGTGTTGCAGGTGGTTGGGAATCTCAGGAGTAGGGTTTGAGGAGGTCTTAGCTTATGGAGTGTGTTGGACATGTTAAGTCTGGAGCTGCCAGTAGGACATCAAAACTGAAACTATACAGACATGAAACCAATGTGTGGAAGCTGGAGAAACAGGTGGGAAGTAGGAGGTCAGTGGAAGAGTCTTCCCCGTATTTCAAAAAGAAGTGACAAAGGTAGCAACTGTCCCCTAGGTTCAGTCAGCAACAAGGAGGTTGCTAGGGTTTGTCCTGACCCCAGAGCTTCAGGCCATTAGGTACCTGCACTGTTCCAGTAAACAAAATGCAGGAAGGCAAAGGGGCACGTCTGAAGCATGCCCTTTGAACAAGGAATTTACTCAACTTCTACGGAGTAGCTAGCCTCTGAATCCAAAACATTATTCCTTTATAAAAATCAGGCCCAAGTAAACTCTAGAATACTCTTGGTCTGACTCTAGAAGGAAAAACAAACAAAAAACCTGGTGGGGAGAGGCACCAGTGATTTCTTAGTCGTGTGTAAAAGGTGTGCCAAGTCCAGCCGTCTCGTGCAGCACACAGGAGTGAGTACACTTTATTCTCTTTTGTAATCACTCATTTGTTGTTGCACTCTGTTACCTACACTGTTTTAAAAGGGTATCTGCAAATGTTTACAACGAAAAATAAGCACGCGAACTGTCCTTCAGAAAACGGCCCCATGTTCACAAATCTGGGTTTTCGGGTATCCCCTATGTACCCCCAACACGCCAGCTTAAGAAAGTCTTCAAGGCAAACATCTTACGCCAACTCGATGTCCTACTGGGCTTCGCAAGCAGCCCTCAAAAGGAGGGTGGGGGACAGTTTACAACAGTAAAAACTTTCCACTAAAGACTGGAAGAGTTTGGTTCCTGTGATGTGGTCTCTCCTAAGCTAAGCAAGGTCTGAGCATTTTGCATACAGGGCATCCTATTTATTATTATCATTATTATTATTATTGATCTTTCTTGATCAGGGCATCTTTTAATAACACAGACCGTTGGTCCTGTTGTTGCTTTTTTTTTCTCATATGAGAAAACAAACTCAGGTGACTTTTATTATTTTCCTTCTCAACTGGGGTGGATGAGTTTCACAAAGGTAAGAAGACAGCTTAGCCATCAAGAGGCCGCAGGACAATAAGGTGTGTCTGGGTTTCAAAACCACCTTTGAAAAAGCGAGGAGAAAGAGACCCCAGCCCCTACCTCGAAGACATTCGTCCTCGGCCATGGGGCCCGGGTGTCTGAAGAGACACGGCAGACCCCCCACCCCTCCGAGAGCACAGTTCACGGCCTTTTTCTGAGCGGTGACCCTAATTACCTAAATACCCGGTGATAATTGTGACTGGAATCTTAGTGATGAAGTCAAGATTTTCCTCTTCTTGGTTGTTGGTCTCAATGGGAACCAGTTCAGGACAATCCTCCGCGTACTCCTCTTCCGCCTCCACAGTTTTCATAGCCGGTAACATGCCACCGGCAGTACACCGCCCCTCAGCGAAAAAGCTGCCACAGTCGCCCTACTGGGACTGGATTCAGCCAGCGCGGCTCTGTGACGTCACCACAACGCGACTCTCAGCCTGACTTTCAGTAACCAGCCCGCCCTCCAGCTCCGCCCCTAGGAGAGTTTGATACGCCTTCCCGGGAAGCCACGCCCCTACGCAGAGATGAGCACGCCCCCACACGCCTGGACACGCCCCTCATGGGATGGAACACACCCCCGGATGTGAGGCATGCTCTCGGGGCGTGTCCTCCGAGGGTGAGCCAGGCTGCCCTGTGTTGTTAGAACGCTAGGGGCTCTCTTTCCTCCAAGCTGTAGAGAGCTCCTGCAGCTAAGCTGCTGTCTCTTGCTAGGGCTGAGGCTAGACAAGTTAGGGCTTGGAGTGTCTTCACCAAAGCATTCCCACAGGACAGACTTTCTCAAGCTGACATCTTTTTACTCTCAATAAGTCCAATATTTTTCATTCACAGTGAAATGAATGATTATGGAAGTCATGCTGTGAATTGAAACCTTTCTACCGGAAGGACAGCTAGCTAAACTTTCAACATTTTTTTTTTTTGGTATTTTCGAGACAGGTTTTCTGTGGCTTTGGAGGCTGGCCTGGAACTAGCTCTTATAGACCAGGCTGGTCTCGAACTTACAGAGATCCACCTACCTCTGCCTCCCAAGTGCAACTTTCTTTTTTTTTTTTTTTTTTTTTTTTTTTTTGGTTTTTCAAGACAGGGTTTCTCTGTGGCTTTGGAGGCTGTCCTGGAACTCGCTTGGTAGTCCAGGCTGGTCTCGAACTCACAGAGATCCGCCTGCCTCTGCCTCCCGAGTGCTGGGATTAAAGGCGTGCGCCACCAACGCCCGGCCCCAAGTGCAACTTTCAATTACCTATTATAACTATCTGATCTTTTACAATGTAATAATTTATATTTGCTTTATTTATTTTTCATTTTCATTATTTACTTAGATATCAGTTAAACTCAGTTCATTATTTTATCTGTTGGTTCATAATATTCTTGTTAATTCATAGAGAACATTCCTTTGCATTTGTTTATAGTGGACTCCTTGACAGCACCCCTCACCCAAAAATATTAAATTGCATCTCTTCCATTCCAACTAACAAATCATGAATTTGCTTGGAATTGCTGCACATTCTTTTACATATTTGTTTTGTCCTGATACACATGCACATAAATAATTTTACTTGTTTTTCAGTTTCACAAAAAGAGTACCATACAATGTATATAATCTCTTGGGGGTTGCTGCATTTCCAGCTTCCCTGCTGAATTTCCTGTCAATTGTTTTCAGGTGTTGCTGTTTTGTTTAGTTTTTGAGGCATTAATACATTTTCCCAACAATGTAAGAGATCATATTGATCTAGTGCCAGTATTAGCAGACATTAATCCCTTACCAATTACATACAAAATAATACCCCAATGTGATCACTAGTTGCATTTCATTGGTTTATGAACAAGACTGAGCATCTCCTTGTATGTTTGGCCATATTCAATTCTCAGTCTTAGGAGGATAGTTCGGGCCAGACAGCTAGCAAGCAATGTTGTATCAAAATGAGGCTTTCCTCAACGGAAACAAACAAACAAAAAAAAGAAGTTTGTTGTAGAATCTTATTTTAACTAGGCAAATATAAGTTACATTTGTTTATGCTGCAGAATGTTACTTAAACTGTGAACAGATGTGTTACCTTTGTGCTGCATTTGTTTAATTATGAAAAGATGGGCTGCATTTGTTTCACCTTGTCTGCCTAAGGCACCTGATCAGGCTAATAAAATGCTGAGCAGCCAATAGCTAGGCAGAAGAGAGGGTTGGCAGGGCGGATAAGCAGTTAAATAAATACATTAATAAATAGGAGGCTTGAGAGAACAGAATGAGGGAGATACCCAGGACCAGAAGCCAGGCAGCCTTCGGCCAGCCAGACATAGAGACAGCAAGAAAATAAGAGAAGGTAAAAAAGCCCCAAGGCTAGTCACACACACACACACACACACACACACACAAAATGCCTGAACTAGACCAAGCATTCAAAACTAATAAGTCTCTGTGTCATGATTTGGGAGGTGGATGGTGGCCCAAAAGAAAGAGCCTGGGTGTTCATTGTACCAAACACCCATCAACGAGGAACAAACAAGGTGATATATCCTGACAGGGAAGATAAATTGGCAATAAACAGGTACAAAGTACTGGTGACCTGCTACCAAGTGAACAAATCTCAAAAACATGCTAAAAATAAAGCCATTCACAGAGGCTACACATTGTCTAAGTCCATTTGTGTAATATGTCCATAATAGGCAATTCTAGAGAGACAAAAAAAAAAAAAAAAGTTAGTGGTTGCTAAGGACTGGGAGTTTAAGAGTCATTGTTAATGAGTACTATGTATTTTTTTGTTTTGTTTTGTTTTGTTTTTCCAGACAGCGTTTCTCTGTGTAACAACCCTAGCTGTTCTGGAACTCATTTTGTAGACCAGGGTGGCCTGGAACTCACAGGGATCCTCCTGGCTCTGCTTCCCAAGTGTTGGAATTAAAGGTGTGCGTGCCATATATTTTTGTGATAATAAGAATGTTCTAAACTTGATTATCATTACGTTAAGACAACTCTGAATTTACTGAAAAACATTGCATTGTACATATTAGTCAATTTTATCTTACGTTAGTTTTATCTCTGTTTTTTGGTTTTTTGTTTGTTTGTTTGTTTTAGTTAAGGGCAAGCGTGTGCTCAAATGCTGGGAAGTTTTTTTGTTTTGTTTTTCACAGAGAATTGATTTTATCAGCTTAAAGTTCTGACCTTAGGTACAAACATAAAGCTTACAGCTTGGTAAAATTGTTCCTTTAGTTTTTTTGCATACTCCTTTTCAATAAATTAATTATCCACTGACTCTATGAATCTATTTTCTTTTCTCTAGTAACTCAGCAGAATTTAGCAAGCATATTTCTGAAGAACAGGTCTTAATCTATTAAATCTAAGACTCAGAGCCTCATTTCTCCTAGGTAGCTAGATCTTTCTATCATTTCTATCACAGCAGAAGATTTGCCATTTTTCCAAGTGAGCCTTTGCTGTTATTTTTTAATTCAAAATGTCTTCTAAAGAATGGAAAAACAATACTTACCTGGCAGGGGAGATATCATGATCACGAAGAATGGAAAAACAATTCCTGCATATAATATGGTAGAGTGTAGCAGTTTTTCATTTATCTTAAAATTCTCTCCACGCTTAACTTTGTTACTTTTATTTCATCTCAATAAATTTATGGTAAAATAATAAGAGCAATAATTACAATGTGTGGAGTCCTTGCTATCTAATGAATATTATATTAAGCATATTAAACACATTTAACTCTACGATGAATATTACTTGTATGCCCACTTCATAGATGGAAAGCTAAACTTAGGAAATTAAGAACCATGCTCAAGGTCATGCAAACAGTGACAATTCTGTGACTCACTCCAGATCTGCCTTACCAGAAACATTTTCATGTTCTGCCAGCCCAGGGATCTGCAAGCTTTTAAAACAACAAAATAAAACAAACAAACAGGCAATAAACACTTAACAGGCAATAAACGCTTAACAGACCCAAAAGCAAACATGAGGGCAATGTGTTTGCATAATAAAGGACAAAGATTTCTACAACCTTTAAAATTTAAGTTTCAGTTTATTTAAAAATACATAAGCCATTCATAACTTGTAGTCCATACAAAAATAAGGGAGGCAGCAGGCTATGGTTTATCAACTCCTGGTATATTGTAATGTAATAATTTCTTGCACTGTGCTAAATAAAGTTTAGTGAAAAGAGTTTGCTATCTTCAAGTTGGGCGGTGATGGCACATGCCTTTAGTCCCAACACTCAGGAGGCAGAAGCAGGCGGATCTATGTGAGTTTGAGACCAGCCTGGTCTACAAGAACTAGTTCCAGAACAGCCTCCAAAATCACAGAGAAACCCTATCTTGAAAAACCAAAACAAACAAACAAACAAAAAAAGAGTTCACTATCTTCAATTTGAGTTATAAATCTCTCTCAGCATTTGGCAGTTTTGTGTAACACAATTACCATAAGCTTAGTACCTTGCAGAAGAGGTGCTGAAGCTCAGAAGTGTAAATTATTAGGTTATTCCTGCCAGGCTGGGGAGAGACCTATGTTGAATAGTATGTGATCTTTCACAGTAGGATCCCTTCTAGGAGCAAAACAGACAAGCTCCCAAGGAGTCTAAATTCTAGCAGCTCACCCTGCTGTCCTGGGCATATTTACCTGCCACTCCCCATTGCTTCATTTTTCTTCCTTGAATAGTTACATCTATCGCCATGAGAAAATTTAAACCATGACAGTATCTAAACCAGAGGAAAAATAATGCCAACTTGCCTTTCTTTTTTCTCTCTTTTGCAACTTCCTGCATAGGCACACTCATGGCCAGCAATAGCTACTGGCTTAGAGAAAAGGAAACTGAGAGTTTCACAACAGTCCACTTCTTCTTAGTTAGCAAGTAAATAAACAAAATATTTTTATTTTGATGTTTACCAGTTTGATACATTTTTGAGGACATATCTGAAAGGCCTCAGAGGAAGGGCAGCTATTCTTGTGACTAGTTAAGGTTGATCATTGGTATTCAGTACTTGATAATCTTGTGTTAAAATATACAACCTCTCTAAAGAAATAATCTCTCCTCACTAGAAAATTAAAATTGGCTGGCAGATGGAATATATATATATGTACATATATATATATATATATATTTCATGTTTTAAGAGCTATTGTAAGGATTCAGGTATTATGCTGACCTGCCCCTATCACCTGGCAGAATGCACTCAAGCAATACCCTGGTCAGCTCGGGGTTCCATGGTAGCTTAGTCTGCCCACAGGTGCAAAAGACTCCTTTAAAAGAAAGACCCCGCCCACTTATGCCTCTCCTTTTCCACTGTTCCCCTGGGGCAGTAGGACTTTTCCTGTCTCCCTCTTCTCCTCTGTCCTCCCTCTGTCTGTGTGTATCTTTCCTCTTTTGTCTGTCCTTCCCCCCCTCCCTTTTTAGTAAAACCTCCCACTAAGCTCTGTCTGCCTGGCGTGTTTGGTCCCCACC